GGAGGGAAGCAGTGGCAGATGGAAAACTGGTTTTTATGATCTCAAAAAGAGTTTCAGAAGAGAGAAAGCAGATTGCAGGGATCAAAGCCTTGATTTCATAGACTGGGTTTGAGAGAACGGAGCCTCGCTACCAGAACGGTGTGTGTAAATGAAGTGATGCATCTGCCTTATCTGCTCTACAGAGCACTGCCCCACGTCAGCAGAGCGCCTGGCATTAGCCCCATGTGCGCTTGCAGAGGTTAATTTTGTGAGTGTATAGCTACGCTGTCTCCCTGAATGCCTTAAGCCATGCTGAAGGGAAAAAAACCTCTTTTCCACGGACAAAACTGCGTCCCAACTGGGAGCTCCACCAACTCAGTGATATCGGTAGCGTAATAGGCTGTGGGCAAAGGTCTGAGGATGCCGAATGTTGTTGTGTAGAGTGGGGCAAAGGTCTAAGGATGTTGAACACTGTCATGTCGAGTGGGCAAAGGTCTAAGTACACTGAACAATGTTGTGCAGAGCTGGCCTTGCATCCCTCACTGGCTATTCTTTTGTATTGGGACGCTTGCTGTCAAGGACTTGGGTATCTGCTACATATAAACATGTTGTGGAACCAAATGTCGTGAAATTTTATGGAGACAGAAGGGTAAGTGGGTTCAGAAGGGAGATAGAAAAAATTGATGGCGGTCTTGCTCATTTGGCAGTTATTTGGGTGCGAATTACAAAAGAGGTGTACAAGCAGCTGACTGATGCACCTAAAACATGCTCTCAGCCTTTCACAACCCAGTTGCCCTGTTTGAGTACTCTTTTCTTAAGCCTCCAGAGCCAGAAACAGGATATAGATCTCAAAAGAAAGAGCTTACCCTATCTCATCAAGACACAACCACCTTCTTTTCTATCTCTAGATTAGCATTAGCCAGGTTTTTTTTCCAAAAGTTTACAGAAGCAGTATGTGGAGCAGAGTGGAACATGTTCTGACACTGTTTCATCAGTCTTGAACAGGTTTACGTTGTCCACCAGACTGAGTTGATGCAGTGATTAACGTGTCAGTTTTTAGTTCTGTGCATATTTATTTCAAGGTAATGTTGAAGTATTGAAAGAGGCCTTCAGCATTAGGTGACGTATTAGTGCTGCAGGACTGTTAGCGTTTTAACTGATTTGAAGTCTTTTTCTTTGGAAATGCTTGTTGTAACAAAGTCCCAGAGGAGCAGCTGGCCCTCTTAAGTCAAAAAAATGAGGCAGAGCCTCCAGGAATTAGCGCAGTGGTTGGAGCCCCACCTCACAAATTTCGATAGCATCCCAGAGCAGGGGGAAGAGGGAGCACTAGAAGCATTCCCTGAGGAGGAGATACTCCTCAGAAAAAGAGCTTTTCAGGTGAATTGAGAAAACAGAAGAGAAGTAATTCAGAGAGAGAGAGAGAGATGGACATTGCTTCTCTGAAGTTGAATCTCTTTTGTTGCTAATGGGGGGAGTTTCCTTATTCTTCTGCAAAATTGGACAAAAAAGGGTTATCAGAAGATTTTACACCAGAGTCTCTTTGTATTCATTATTCTGGTTAGCAGAAGGCGCAACCAGCCTGTGTTTGTATGTGTCCTTCACTGCTGCGCACCTTTTTCTTGAGGGATTGAAGGCTTAATTGTAACTGTGAAGGAGGGTCAAGATAAAGCTGAGTGTACAGAATATTAACCTGAGGTCATTTTTCACATCATAGTGAAAGCTTTTATTGATGTTTTTGTTATTGATTTTTTTTTGTTGTGTTTTGTTTTAATTCAAACCTTGCTCTGCCCTCTGCTGGTAGTTCATATTATGAAATAGAAATAGTATTACATCATTTTAATTGCAAAGTTACAATTTTAAAAAATCAGTTTGCATTAGCCTGTTGTTTGCAGTCTGCTTTATCAAAGAGAATTTGAATTCATCTCATCAGTCACATTTCATACCACAGGTAACTGCTGTGCCCCCCACTCTTAAAATATATAATGTCTAAAGATGTATAGTAGATACGCTAATTTTGGCCAAAAACTTTTAAAAATCATCCTAGACTACAAGTGATTACCCAGGGAATGGATATTCAGTCCTTCAAAACTGTATTTACTTTATTAAAGAAAGTATTTACTTTAATAAAGTTTGGCAGGCAAACTGATTCTTGAAGTCAAGTACTTGAGTTAAGAAATGCTAGCTCGGAGGATGCCTGTGCTATTTTAATCTTACCCTTGCTGCATTTGTATATACTTAGGATGTCTGTACTTACTAGACTGTGTGCTATTTTCTCCATGCTTTTTTCCATATTGGACTGCTGTACATTTAATGAGCAACTATTGCATGTTTTTGTTGTTATTTCATATGTGGTATAGTAAAGTCTATAGAGTACTGGTCTCCAGGACAGCCTTCAAACTGTAGTTCTTTCTTTCTGTCTGCTTTCCAGTTTCAGAAAGAAATGAAGCAAGAAACATAAATCACAGTTTCCTTTGCTACACACTCAGTTCATCCCTGGAGCAGGTTCATCCTATGCACTGCATGAGCCAAGGGGCCTAAAAGGAAAAAAGCACATGATAATATATCTGCAAAAGGGGGTGAGATAAGGATTGTACAGACAGCTTTTACTGTGAATTATCCTAATTTCTGAACTATCTGGCATTTCAGCCTTGACATTCTGGGTGGGATTGAGAGATCCATACTCTGACCTAAAAAAAAAAAAAAAAAAAAAAAAAGAAAACCCCTTCTGACCCATCCAAACAAGCTGACCTAAAAAACCACAAGTTTCATCCCATGTCATTTTGTATCGGCTTTGATACCTACAGTTTTTTTCCGTGAGCAAGGCTGGAGCTTTTAGATCCACTTCTGCCAGTTGCATTCATGAAGGAATTGAGGTAGAGATAACAGCTTGCTGTAATTTTAATGACAGGCATGATGGGACACATTTTTACCAGTGGGTTTCATAAATATTTACTGAAAGCACGAGAGCAGTGAGAGTCACTACAGGGGTTTATAAACATCTTCCTGTTCTACAGCCTCTCCCCCTCCGTCCTGCTTATTCCCATTCCGGTTTTCATCCTTCAAATTCTACTTCTCCTTCTCAGTTACATCCCTTTTTCTGCAGAAAATCTTAGTTTCTACTGCTGCTTGCCGCTTCTCCAGTCTGTAGCCTCTGCTTGATCCCAAACCCAGTCTTCCCTCCTTGGGCTCTTGACTCAATCTTTATTTCACCTCTCCTCTTGCTCCCAGTCGAAATTGTGAGTTCCAAGCAGTCTTGATTTTCAGACCTTCGAAAATTTTCCACTGGCACTACCCAGATAATTTAACTACGCTGCCAGTAGGATTCCCCTTTTTAGCGGCCTTTGCAGGCCCTTTCAAAGCAGTTGCAAACCGCTGTTCTGGTTGCTTTTCCATGCCTGTCAAAACTGACAAAAAGTGACAGCCAAGTGGGCAAACAAGTAGGCAAGTATGGAAGAAGGTTGAGCCTTCAGTAATAAATAGATATCTATTTGACCCACACATTCTAGTAGTAACAAGCCAGCCAGGAGCTGCAATCACAATTAACCGGGGGCCCGGTTGCCATCAGATGGTCGCTTTCTTTGCGTGCGTCAGCAGAGGAAGCTTAAAGATGGAGTTGGAAGGTGGTGCTTGGGAAAAAGCAAGCTGTTATTGTAGTGGGGGACAGCTGAGGCCTCCTGCCTTTTCACCAGCCTCAAGGGACTAAGAAAGCTGATTTTTAAACTGCCTTGAAAACAGTGCATTTTACAGGAAGGTACTTGCTGTGCAAAATCCGTGTCACACAGGATGCCCTCAGAGAGGAGCGGAGGCCTGGAAATACGACTTTTCAGGAAGGGAAGAAGGGTTACAATCTAAGTAACTTTTCCACTCCTATTTATTTATCTGGGAAAAAAAAATTAGCAACTTCAGTTCTTAGCGCAAAATGGAAGGAAATTTAATTATACGGTAGCTCAGCAGGGAGCCCACGTAATGATTGCAAAGGATGTAAAACTGTGATGTGAAACACTGCCTGTGTGCACTGCAGCTCTGCTTGGCCCCGGGAGTTATCGTGAAAACAAGAAGAGAAAGGAGGGTACCAGAGCCCTTGTAAAAGGCGTTATAAGGATAGACCTGCTAAAGGAGAGCATTGTCTAGCAGGTCTATCAAGTGAAGTCACTTGATAGTCTATCAATGACTGAAGCCCATCCAGAGAGCATAGAAGGGTATGATTGCCCATATTATTTCTGAAGGTCCATTTAAGAGCCTAAGTCCTGCCACCTGCTCGTTCCAAAGCACGAGGGCAGATAACGGAGGCACCTCGGGTGCTGAGGCACCTCTGCTTGCTTGGTTAAATTGTACTTTTTAGTGGATCGCACTATACAAAGAACCGTGCCATCTGCCTCTGGGCGCAAAACTGACCTTAAGCAACCTCATCCCAAACAAGAAGCCTGACTCCAAGAGGAAACACTCTGTCCTTCCTGGAAAAGAGGGCAGGAGGGCCACTGCCTCGATAGCCTCAGCCAGCAGTGATTGCTGCTTGTTGAAATGAGCTGGTGCCTGGTGGCTTGCTTTGGGCAGGGAAGTCACATGCCTGTGTCAACCCGTAAGTATGAAGGCTAGGGCTCTGCGTTGCGATAAACAAAGAGGATTGTGTACTGCTTTTACTGCTTTCCTGAACTACCTTGCTTTTAGCCAGAAAACTGAAAATAAGGTTATTAACTAAGATGATACTTAGTAGTTGCATGCTTTTTATTTTTTATATATATATATTTATACATACTTCAAAGTTTAAAATAAGGACTAACAAAATGCTTGTTTGTTCTGAGAAGTGGGTTCAGGTATTTACGTTATGGACTCTGCTTGGACTTCAGCAGTAGGTAGGAAACTGCTCTCAAGATGTATCCAAATCCCAGCTTGGTAACCCCCTTCATGTGCAAAATCATTTTTGTTGTCTGTGTCGTTAAATGCAGTAGAATTTTAGTTCATTTGACTGCTTCTTAATTTTATTTTTGCTAACGTTTTTCTTCTTTTCTCTCTGACTTCAGCCATTGATGGATTTCTAAAAACTGATGAAAGACAAAGACTAGCAAAGGAGAGGAGAGAAGAAAGGGAGAAGTACCTTGGTAAGATAGCTGGGGGCTTATGTTTTTTTTATGTATATGTGCTAATGGCCTTAAGTTACTAACATGATATTTCTCCTGTTCTGAATTCTAAATACTGTGGCTCAGGCTATTCCTAGTCTTCTTTGACTTACAATTATTTCTTTAAAATTAGATTATTTTAAAATAAATCTAACCAGGGGCTCCTTTGACTTCCATTCAGCTACTTTGTATGCTACAGTTAAAAGTTCGTTTTCCTCTTTGATGGATGTACTGTTGAATATAGGTTTATGTACAAGATACTGACCGCTAGGATTTTGGTTTGTACAAATACTAAAAAAAGCAGTGAGTAATACTTAAATGGTAGGATGATTTGCTGAAACAGTCTCAATTCTATCCTGGTAGATTATAGCCATATTCAAAGATATCTTGGAGTTGGTAAGTAGGCATAAAGCAAGTATCTTTCTATAAGTTTAAAATGATTAATCTTCTTTCAAGAGAATGAAAAATCTGTAATTCATTTCTTGAATGACATAAGCATCGATTTCAGAGTCTTTAAGTACTGTCTGTTGCTTTTAATTCCTTCTAATACTTCCAGGAAATGTTGAGAAAATTTTGCAGTTTCATTTACATTATACACATGTATGTATGTGTGTGTATATATACATTTTTAATATGTGCATACATGCGCATAAACTAAAAGGAAAAAAAAACAGTTAAATTCATTTTCCTTATTACATTAACAAGAAAAGCTGGTAGCAGTGTTTCATGAGATTATCTGACAATGCCTATTAGAGAGAATTGCCAACGTTTTATGATTTTGTCAAATTTAATTTGGGATTTATTTTGAGAAAACATTAACTAAGATAGTGTGGACGCCTCTGAAATTTTTTTGTAGGGAAAACTGATTTTTTTGAAACAAATAAAAAACTCTTGACCGTATCTTGACAAAACCTGAGTCCTGAGAGCAGAGACTTGATACTTTTAGTAATGTGGGCTTGGTGAGAAAGATTTTTTTTTTTTTTTGTAATTCCTGTGAAAATTTACCAAAATGCTTAGTGGGGATTTAGTTTTTAGTAGCTAAATACCCGAGAGGTTCTGTCTATATGGGCATGCACCAACCTGAGTAAACGTGACATACCCTGCAGTAGTAGCTCATATCTCCTGCAGGTGTATTCAATCCAAACTCTCTCTTTGGTCCTCGCGATTATTCCTTCTTTGCTGATTCCTGAGAAAGTGACACAATAAGTGGATTGAAAAGGAATTGGATTAAAAAGTGGAAGAGAAATGGGGTGAGGGGAACACTGAAAGATGGAGAATCTGGGACTGGCTGGCCAAGGGGATTTGGTACAGAAAAGACTGGGGGGAAAAAGGTTTTAGTCACACTTCTTGTCTCTAGATTTCATATGTTTTTTCTGGAAGCATATTTCTTTAGGGTTAAGTCCATTTTGAGAATGGTTAGCTCTGGACTTTGGCCTCAGGAGATGTCTGTCTGTGGCTTCTGGAAGTTCAGAAAAAAATACAGTGAGTTCCCCAAAAGGACAAATCTCCATGGAGTCAGCAGGTACTTTGCAGCAATATAGAATAACCTTCTCATCAAAGCTAAAATTCATCAATCAGTTTTTTCACATCCCTAAATTAAATTAAGAAACAAAAATAGTATAAGTGTCCGTGATGACAAAATGGTTTGCTTCTCTGTCCAGAATCAGTCCCAGGTTTCACCTGCTTGGTCAGAAGGTAATCTTAGCACTAAGATCCGGACACTTGATGTTGGGTTGAGGTTTTTTTGTTTGTGTTTTTTTTTTTGTGTGTGTGTATGATTTTTAAATCAAGTCCAGCATGCTGTTTTTACCTGTTCTATCTGACATGACTAGTAGTCATTAACTGTTAGTGACTGGTCACTTGTCTTTCATTATCTCTGAGGTAATTCTTAATCTGCTAGCAAGTCTGTGGTTGTTCATTCTCATGAATCCAGGCTTGCCTACAGCACTAACATCCCTCTCATGTTTCCGTGTCCTGCAGGGAAGAAAAAAAATTAGCAAGTTCTTGTAAGGCAAAATGGGAAGACATCACCTACCATATTTCTAACGAGAGTAAGGTAGAAGGTTTTGGTGTTCACTAAAGGAGTCTGGATGTGAGGAAGAAGTTGGATCTTGCAAGGAGCCAGTTTTCAAGGGGCAAAAATTGAACTGCTGGAAAAAGATCTGATGTTAGGGGGACACTGACATTGAACGAGAGGGCTAGAGGACAGATTGGGGCTAGGAGTCACTGAAGGCTATGGCTGTGGGTAAAGAGCCTGGGGCCAAAGAGAGGGAGTTGATATGACTGCTGGAGCAGCCTAGGAGTGATCTGAGGAAGCTGAGAGCGTTTGCAAGGGGGAAAAACTGCTGGGCCGCAAAACACCAGCTGGAATATTAACTGGGGCTGAATAGGTGAGCAGAATAAGGGACCAGCTTTTGTATAAACAGTGTTAATTCTGACTTTCCCTAACTTTCAAGTCCTTAGGCAACTGTGATGATAATATTCTTTCATATTGGTGGTATGTATGTTGGTATATGATATTACAGGCTTGGATGTATGTAAGCACGCTTATTAAACTCCTACTCTCCTGTCTTTTTATGGCACATGTTTGCATGAGTACTGTTTTTTCTTCAGGCTTTATCACATTAACTTTTGCTACTTAATTCCCCTGTGTAAACCTGAAGCAACAGTCCTGTCTGTATAGTTGCAGTCATAATTTCCATAATAACAAATTTAATATCTCAAGGAGAAGATTATGACTCCAGGTAGAATAAGCAACTGAGACAAACTCTCAATAATAAAAGTAAATTTTCTTCATGCAAAGTGCGAGAAGTGGATAACAATATAGCACCAAAGTATTAACAGATAGTGTGTTTTCAAAGCTTCCTAGAAAGTTTAACGTGTGTTTCTTACATATTTATTTTGAAGACAGCACCATAAAGAGAAGCATAGTTTTAAAGAAATGCCAAGGGCTTTTGCTTCAACATGTATAACTGATTCACCCTAAAACCTACTGGGAACATGTATGTCTAAAGGAAGAATTTGGCCTTTAAGTTGCAGAAAGAATTGAAGCATATACAAAAGATGAGTTGTTAACTGTTCTGCATGCTCTTTTTAAAGAGGTAGGGTCACACTGTCACCTTGCGTCCAGAGGGCTTCCCTGTTAACGTTAGTGTATCAAACAGTTTTGCTAATCGTTCCAGCACTTCTATGCACTATGCTTTTGAGCTTATGGCACTAAAGCCCTGTGTACTTGTATCTGTTATTTTACTCTACCATGTCATGCTATCAAATAATTTTAAAGCAGGAGAAGATTTGCATAAAGTCAAATGCATTTTTTTCTCCATCTAAGCTGCTAGGGAGCAGCAGATACTGGAGAAGGAGAGAAGGGCAAAACTTCAATATGAAAAGCAAATGGAGGAACGATGGAGAAAACTGGAGGAACAGAGACAGAGAGAGGAGCAGAAGAGAGCAGCTGTTGAAGAAAAGCGGAGACAAAAGCTTAAAGAGGAGGAGGTAAGGTCCACTGAGAGACATACTGTAGCCTCACTCTATAAGCTAGCATAAAGCATAGCTATGCTATAGCTTATGCTATAAGCTAGCATAGAACAGCATAGGTTACACTCTCTCTCTTTTTTTTTTTTTTAAATCCTGGAGACATGTGTGTCTTCCTTTGGGAACTGCAACCATATATTACCCTGCTATAAATGCTCTACTACCACTCGTACATCAAAAATATTTTCAGGGGCTTATTTGTCACTTGAATTTTGTGTGATCTCACAGGATAGTAGCATACTTAGGCTAACATAACTGGGACTGTCAGACATAAAGCACCAGCTGTCTAGAATTTAGCTTTTAAACATGACTGCTTCCAGAAAATGGCAAGACTTTTTTGTTCGGTTTTTTTGTTCAGTTTGCACTGACCACTGCAACATGTTTATATATTTTTGATATTATAAATCATGTTTTTGTATATATTTTTTTCTCCGTAACAAAAAATAAGAAATTCTTACTTAAAGAAGCTAAGAATCTAGGCTGGATTAAAATTCTAACATACACTTGAATTAATCACGTATCTTTAGAAGCATGTTCGCGTATTCCTCTTCTAACTAGCTCTACTGAGATCATTTAAGGTTCTTTTTTGCTCTAGTATGTCTTCTTTCTGATGCAGGTCTCTAAATGAAGTATGTGTATGTGTCTCCCTGCACGACATTCTGTAGAAAACAGCAGCACTGCTACTGCAACTGATAAAGAATTAATGATTTTTGGAAAAGGGAATAGTGATTAAAAAAAAAAAAAGATAGAAATGCCAAGAGACGATGTTGGGGTTTTTTCTTGCCCCCTTAGCTCCTATGGAAAAAGGCTCTAGAAATCTGCAGTTACTAACCCTCCCCTTTTCTCTGTCCCTTACCTTTTGATCAAAATATATTTGCAAAAGAGATAAAATATTACCACATGGGATCAAAATAACCTACTTCTATCCATTGAGTTTTATTCTGTGTTTGATTTTTCACGTTAACGTGAAGAGGATAAATCCTGCCATTCCTCTTTCAACTGTAATATACTGATCCTGGCTTCTGCATAATAGCTGAAAATTCATTTAAAAATGTTTTGTCATGTGGATCACTTGAAATTTTCTTCCTGGTTTTGTCATTTTTCATAACAAAGCGGGAGAGGTCTTTCTCCTAATGCAGTAACATCAATGACGTGACAGTAATCCTTCCCCAATATTTCCAGCAGTGGTAACCTTTTCAGCTAAGCAAAATTGATCTCCTTTACAGGGGGTGTCGGAAGTGGCAAATACAGGCACTTCTGAATGTGAGCAATTCACATTGCTCAAGATGCGCAATGGAGAGCGGCATGGGGGAGAAGAGGCGAGAGGTGTAGGCAAAATGAGTACCTGCATGCTTTGCCTGTCCTAGGGAAGCCAGAGGGAGGCTGTCAGACATGAGAGCAGCTAGGGCTGTTCCAGGTCAGACCCGAAGGTCTATTCGAGGGAGGAACCCATCTCCTATAATGGCCACCTGCGCTGAGATGAATGTAAGAACAGGCATAGCAGCGGTACTTTTCAGGAGTACTCCCCCAGTATCAGCAAGCCTGAATTGCTCCCCACAGCCAGTACCGACACTAGGAGACTTCTCTAACCAAGAGAGAAAGCTTGCTGCCTGTCAGCTAATGGTCATTGCTGACAGGCAATTACAATTCCACTCCTAGCTCTGCTCTCTGAGCCTGCCTGCAAGCTTTAAAAAATTCAAAGCTTTTCACGAGTGGAGGCAAGCCCAAACCTGGCTCCTTTCCTTTTCATTTGCTCTGTCTCTCGTTCTGCAGGTTGAGGAAGCTGAGGAAGGGCTATGTGGGCAGGAGGACAGGAGAGGATGCTTGCTTGTTTGGGGGTGGAAGAGACCTGGATTCAGGAGCTTCTGAAGGAGAGAAGGGTGCGGAGAAGAAAAATCTGCAGAAAAGAGAAGGATGGGGTAGAAGGAAGTCAAGGAAGGGAGACCCCACCACCTCCTGGCATCCCTTCACAGTTACTTGGTTTTGCGTGTTCTGTCTAGTATCCCCTTGAAATGCTACTGCTGTGTCCCATCTCTGTGGCCAGCCTCCAGCAAGTCTGTCCTCAGCTCTGTTGTCTGCTCCAAAATGCCATCTGCAATCTCCCACATGGTTCAATTCATCTAACCCAAAGTATTTGTGGAGCAGTGAAATTTAACTTGGCAGGTGAGAGCAATTGCTCTAGCTCTGTGGAAAATGTACCCGTTGTAGTACAACTTCATGCTTAAATATTTCTCTTTTAGAAGAGAGACTCAAAAGTTAATTTTGTTGCTAGAGCTTGGCAAATAGTAATTTCACCCAAAACTTTGCTTGTCATTCCTGCATTTCTAGGATTCCATTTGAGTTTTGCTAAAGATTTTGCCAAATCCCCCACAAAGTTCTTGTGATGAGTCACAAGTTTTGCCCCTCAAATCCCATGTGTATAGTATTAGCAGTGAAGATCTGAGTAAGGATGCTGATGAAGTTGCAGTTCCAATTACTCATTGTTCATGAGTCATCCTGGACACTTGAGACCCTCTTTACTGGAAGGAGTTTGAACCCGTATTTCCCACACCTATGGAAGTATGCCCTGACTGGTGAGCCAATATACTAGCAAACGCTCCTTGCTTCTCCTTGCGACACTGGTTTATGCTAGATGGAGACTGGAGTGCCAGTTTTGCCCACCTATCAGGTGTCCTAAGTGCCATATAGAGAGATTTTCTTCCTTGCTTTCTGCCGTATTGGTTGTGTCCTTTATATGCCCCTTAAATCTTTTTTCTTGCATTTTTAACACAGCTGAAGGCAGTGCATATTTGTGATGCAGACAGGTCATCAACATCTCTCTCTCTCAAAAATGTTGCTGTTGTGTCTGCAAGACTTTGAGAGGTGAATGGTTCTTAACAGGCTTGGGATGGGCTTCTTCAGTTCCCATGTTTGAGCACTGCCTGCTTTTCTACTGCTCTTGTATTGCATAAGACAATATGGACACCACAATAACTTGTACAAGCCAAGTCAAGGGTTTGTGTGCAAGTCCGAGTAATAGCATCCATCTAATCAAACATCTTTTTTTTTTTTTTTAATAAAACCATCAAATATTATTGAAAATAAAGTTGATGAAATTAGCGCTGATCCTACTGATATACTACTGTTGGAATGAACAACTACTGGTAAACAGATAGACAGAACAAATCTAGTCCAGCACCCAATCTCAAGAGGTTGACATAACCAATGCCAACCAGCTGGCAAAATGCCGAATAATATCCTGGAAAGAATCCTTTTAGTTAGATATTTGTTTTGATGTACACGTTTATGTTATATTTGGAAAAAGTATACACTGAAACACAAGAGATGGAAAATCCTCAGGATGGTATGTTGTCAGTTAATTACTTTTCAAGTTAAACTATATGGAAGTAATAAATGCTTGGTAAGCCTCTTCTTGCAATTCATAGAGAGAGTAGAATTCAATTGCACAAGTAATATAAAAATTTCATTGCAAGTTGGTTGAAATTGCCCTCCCCCAGGTGCACGGCTTGCATAGCAAAGAACCCTCAAAGCGAGGAGAAGAGTTTGTCCCAGTGACCACGCTGACCCTCCTGTTCTCCACTCCCTACTCCCCCTTTGCCATTACTGCTGCTATGGCTCTCCCCAAAGTGTAATGCAGAACCTTCCTTCTGTCCCATCTGGTTCTTTGAGACACATACACGCATACACACCCCCACCTACCCACCCCCTTTTTGCATGTAGATTTTCCTTTTCTACACATATAATTGTAATGACTGGGAGCAGAAATTGATTATATTCAGAAGTGGTAGTTAAATATAAAACAAAAAGTATTTTTTTAATTCCGTTCTTTAAGTAGAAGATAACAGAGCTCTTTTGTTGCTATGTGGGAGAGCCACACAAATACAAGATGAAGCCAATAATATCAGAAAACAGCCAGCTGCTTACGCACAGTGTTGATGAACAAATAAAATGAAGATGATGAGTTTTTCCTCCCTCTAAGCTTATAGTTGGCTGTTTTAGATGTTTTCATCATACATATAAGGGAGATTGTTTTAGAGTTGTTTGCATAAATAATTTTTACTCCTGATACTTGTAAAATTACTTCTAGTTTGAGCAAGAAAGGACATTCGTTTTTTCCTTCCATGGTTTCTGATGCGTGTATCATATTTTATATAGCTAAAAGAAAAGTACTTCAGTCAAATTTTTTGCGTTCTTGGTGTTGTTTTCTTTTAATTTAGGCAGTCTAAATGTTTGTTCTGTTATTTAGTCTGGGTGAAACATGAGTGAATAACTAAGAATTATGGAAATAAGCATATCTACTTTAGTTATGAGCAGTAAATGGCCCTCTTTTTATGGTTTTACTCGTTCTTGATTTAACCTACATGCGAAGCTCATTGCACTTTTTTTTCTTTTTTTAATGGAAGCTCACTACAGCTGTACCACAGAGATTATTTTCTCTGTGTCTATGGCAGTTACAGTTCCCAAATGAGGATCAGATGGATAGTGTTTGATATGTTTTTAAGACAGTACTGCCTGTATAACAGACAGCGGATTTTTTGTACATTGTTTGCTGATGAAGAAAAGCTTTATGTCCTTGCCAAAAAAAAAAAAAAAAGTTTGAGTTTTTTGCTGTGCTTCTGTGTCTTAAAGTTGGTTTCTATTTTGTGTATTTGTAAAGTTCAAAATATTGTGCTAGTTTAAAATGGTTTTTAATAGCTACCCTTTCCTTGTGTAAAATGGTTTCATATTGTTCTTTATCTAAGCTGTATATGCAGGGTTTGTGAGGTTTAATAATTGTTCTATAATGTGTTAATGAAAGGCTCTTTGCAAATGAAAACGAATGATCCTCTCCATATCATGTAGTTGAAGATTTCAACCTTAAAATATAGGTGGCCTGGGCTTTCAAGTATGTATGAAAAATCATTTATTGTCTTTAAACCATTTCCTCCTGCATTTTCCTTTATTCTTTAAACAGTGCTGTTTACACTAGGAGGTATAAGTGTATTCTGTGGTCCACAGACTAGAGAACGTTGTTAGTCCTTGCTCCAAGCACCAGTAGAAGAATAAATGAGCACAAATTGCCCAGATAATTAACTGAAACTTATCATCTGCTCTCACATATTGTCTTTTCTGATTAATGTGTAATAATATCCTTTAGATATGGAAAGGAAGAAAGATTCTGTAGAATTGTGTGATTTAATGGGAAAAAATGGTAAGGTTACTTTACTGTAGAGAGTGGGTAGAAAGGTATATTGGGGCAAGATAAAGAGCAGAAGAAAGTAGCGAAAAGAAAAATGGAAACAGACTGCAGAGAAGAACTGATGATGATATAGTAGGTTTGGAAAGAGTAAGTATAATAAAGAGACTGAAATAAAAAGAAACTAGTGTGTTGAGAGGTGTAAAGTAAAGACAGAAGTGAGAAGCTTGAATTTGAATACAAAGCCTGCACACACAGATTTTTAAATGTGAAAATTACATCATCAGGAAGGAAGAAAAGAAGGACTGTAGCACACTAAATCAGAGGGGACTGGCTTTGGGTTGTGGAGACTGAAAGACAGCATTTTCATAATAGGAGATTCAAAAATGTGTTTGTTGTTTTTTTTTTTCCTGTGCTATTGCAGAAAAGGCTCTGCTTCAGCTTTATGCTGCTTTGTGCCCTTCAGGGAGAAAAAGGAGGAGGAATGACAGGTAGAGAGTTTGCATGCCTGCCTGGATGCTGATGGCATTGACTGGACAGATAGGAAAAAAAGGAAGGGGAGGAAAAGCTGCTGCCTGCTTTCAGCATCTTTGCCTGAGGTTAGCTGATACATTGTGATCCAAAGATGGAGAGGAGAGGAAAAAATGAAGTGAGAGCTCAGAGCAGTGTAGCAGAAGATTTTCTTCCTGGAGATGGCAGCAGATATTGTGATGGTCACCTGACTGAAAGGTAACAGGCAAGAGAACTGAGACAGATAGACTAGGTGTGCAAGAAGGGCCTTTTTTTGCTCTTCATACAGAGGCTAATGTAATGGAATTCTTTATGGTGGTGCATAATAAAGTTGGGGGAGAAGAAAGTTAAAACAAGAAAAAGGTAGTGGCTAGCTGTTGAAATCAATGTGTAGTTGGTAGTGGGGTTGGATGAGATGGGAACCTTGATCAGAGGTAAATTATGAGAAATCATGGTAGTGGAAGAGATTCTTCAGTGAGGTGAGGAGACAAAAGTATTTTGCAGATATCCAGAGGAGGATGAGAGAGCATCTAGCAATGCAGAGATTCAGTGAATGTGGACAGAGTCTCCAGGAGGTTACACAGAGCTTATGGACACACGCATAAATGTTACAAGTAAAGTAGCTGCTGGAGACGCCTAGTGTCAGGGAGTCATCTGGTGAAGGAGCTCACTCAGAAGCAACATCAGTGGAGAAATAGGAGATATGTTTGAGCAAAGACTGAATATAATGATAAAATACAGTAGGGAAGAGGAATAGGGGGCCTGAACCAAAGTCATGAATCAGTGAGAGGAAATAATATGGCTGAGAAATGCAGGAAGGTTATTGATACAGTTGATCTGAGATATCAAAAGATGTTGGAGACAGTGGAGGGGGGTTGATAGGAATGGAAGGGGCTATGATGTAATCATAGAAACAAAGTTTCAGGCGTGAGAAACCTGCATCTGCTGATCAAGAGTTTGAAGTGGATCGAGTGGGAGTTTTGTGCTAGACCAGAAATACCCAGCCAAGGCAGTAAGTAATAGGACTGATCAAAAAACAGAGGGCTAAAAAACACTAGGGCAGGGGCAAAAGGCAGCAAGAGTAGGCTAATCTTCAGTGGTAGAGATCAGGTTTCTGAAATATGAGGGTGAAGAGTTTGCCAAATGCAAGTGAGCTCCTGGGAGGAGGAAAGATCACCACCCTACAAAGCCGTAGATAATGGAGTGATGGGTGGGGAAGGACCAGAATTTGTCTGCTTGAAAGGAGGAAGAGGGAAGGTGGAGAAATTGCCACAGCAGAGAAACTAGCAGAGAGAGGAGGTGGGAACAAAACCGAGTGGAGGTTTGAGTGGGGGTTAAAAGGTGGTGGAGATGGAACAAGAAGACCGTGTCTAGCTGTAAGTTAAAGGTAGAACAGGATTTGGGCAGGGGAAGAAGTCTTATGTTTCTCCCCCTTCTGAAAACATTAATGCACTAAAGCATGGAGAAGAACGTGAGGGTGGCAGGAAAAAAAAAAAGCATCTCCGAACAATCTAGGCATGTACTTAAAAAAAATATGCATCTGTGTATACTTCATTCTAATATGAATAGCAGGAAAAACAGAAGCTCTTAAATGTAAAGAACATAGTGAACGAAAGGAGGGAGTTTTTATAAAAATAAATAAATAAATTGGTCATCCTGCAAAGTAACCTACTTTAGGTTTGAAGTGATCATTTATCTGCGTGGCTAGGAGGAGCCACTGGCATTGCAGCAATTTAGCTGTGCTCAGAAAGGGATGGAAAAAATCCTGAGGTCTGCATAGACAAGAAGGAGTTAATGCTTGTCGAGCATTATTCTTACACAAATTAAGTCCAGAGCGCAGCAGCAGCCTCAGCAGCAGGAGCAGATGCTAGGCAGTGATGCAACCTGTGTTATTTACTTAGGCCTCTGTAGTGACCTCAGTGGCTTGCAGACAAAGGATACACATATCTGGAGGTAAGTAGGCATACCTTCTTTATTCAGTCCTTTTTGTCTTGCTGGAAACAAGCTCCTCGAATCATCTCATGTGGAGCTACAGGGGAACTATTTATTGTATGTGTGTTTTTAGCTTGGTTTCAGAAGGGAAAAAAAACTCCAAAAGAACTGATTTAGATCTGATTTTTCTCTCTCTCTTTTTTTTTTTTTTTTTTTTTGGTACCAAATATAACCAGGAACGTTTAGAAGCCATGATGCGTCGCTCCCTTGAACGCAGTCAGCAGCTGGAACAGAAGCAGAAGCGATGGTCGTGGGGAGGAGCACTGGCTGCAGGCTCAGGAGGAAGAGATGGTAAGTGAAACAGGCTGCCTGCATTGCAGATCCCGAAGTGCAAAATGCATGAGGTTGTGAAGATTGCAAGCATGATGCATATTATAGTTAGCAGGGGCTACTGACTTGGGGTGTGAATAAATGCTTTGTAATTGCTTACCAGGTTTCCCCTCTCTAATACTTTCTGGAAAGAAGGATCACTCCTAACTTTAGGAATGCAGATAGCTAGCAGAGTAATCAGAATCTGTTTTGAGAATGACAAAATGCTAAAATTAAAATTTATGTTCTTTCTCCCTTATTCTCTTCCCCCGCATTGTCTCTCCACGCGCACAGTTAACAAATTTAATATTCACCAAAGGACTAAGCTCTGTCCAAGCCTTGCAAAAGACAATCTATTTTTGTTTGGTACTTCTAAAACCTGTTAGGAATTTCTGGATGACTGTGCAGCACCTGCAGTTTAAAATAGGGTTTTTTTTTCCTCCTACATACTTTTTGTTGCTCTTTTTGATTTGGTTTCGGAACAAATTTTTTATTCCATAACCAGTCATGTACTGCTCTTATATTTCAGAGATGCATGTTTTCTGTTTTAAATCATTTAACTTATTTACATTTACAAGCTTTGAATCAACTCTTGTTTCAGGAAAAAATTATCCATGTTTGGGTGGTGATGAAATACGACAGTTGCTTTCTTTTAAGCAGTGTGTAAATATATTTAACTCTAAAAAAGGCATACCTGCTGTAGCTTTTTTTCATGTCATAGTTTTCATGGTATTAAAAAGCCAGGAAAATAAATATATTTGACATTATATTAAAAGTAAGTATTTTATACTTTGAGAAAGAAACGGCTTTGTTTTTGTGATACAGTTTATGCTTAATTCCACCTCCCCCAACTTATTCAGTAATTTTTTCCACCTCTTTTTGCTCTGATTTCTCTGCTGTGTAGGTGAATCAGAAAATACCCCACCCCCTGTTCTAGGTTTAGCTGCCAACACCCTTCCTCCAGACCCTGTGACCTCTACTGCTCCTGCTGATTCCTTCAATGGTATTTCAGAGAATCACAGTACCATCATGTCTTGTTTATAACTGTTCTAATCACTGTAATTCATCCACTGATCTTGTCCTCCCTAACCACTGTTTTCTTATTATTTCAGTCTGGTATTCTACAGCGTTACTGTTAGAGATGTGGACCAAATGTCTTTTTAATTTCCTTTTAATTTTGCCATGGTGGAGCAGTGCATGCCTCACATTTCAACACAGTAGAGGCATTTCATGATTTTCTCACTAACTGTAGACTTCTACAGCTCAGATTCTCACTTCTGTTAGTTCTGTGGGCACTCCGTGTTTGTGTGTACGTGTGTATAAATATACATATATTTTACAGTTTTTATATACGTGCACAGGTGCAGGTGCTGAATAAAAAAATTTCAGTTGCACAGTGACAGAAAATGCATTATGGAGACAATGTTCCATCAAAACAGTCCTACTTTTCCATCTCAAGGCCCTCTTACTGCAATATTTTAAGAAAGAGCAAGTTTGGTATATATATATATAGCCACGCTATGTTTTCAGCATCCTAAAGTGGATCTTGGTCAGGCTGGTATTTGTAACAAACAAAAAAGATGTTGGGGCAACTATGTTTCATTTTTCTCTTGTATTGTTAAGTTCTCTCCCCCCGCCCCCGAAAGAGCTGTGAGGTAGATGAGTGCTCCAAGTTTAAGAATGGATTGCCTATACGAGTTCTAATTTTGGTTGCAAATGTACTTGGCTCTTTGAAAACATAACGCAGCCTGTGCTTTTAAGAACAAGGCTCGTCTTCTCCCCCAAAAGAAGGACCTAGACTTGAATATTACTCCTGCAGAATGCACAGTTTCTGTTGTCCTGCACATGCTCTCACAGGACTATTGTTTCTGGCAAAAGGAATTGAATTTTTGTACTAATTGTTACTTATTCACAAAGAAGAGATTTGGATGTGCAACTGATGTTTTGTAGCACACCAGCATTGCACCTGCTTTATTAAAGAGGGAACATAGAGAATTATATTGTTTACCGTATTAGGTGACCGAAGTCAAATCTTGTAGGTCCCACAGAGGCAAGGTTTCACTTAATGTAACGGGGAATGCCATAACTTATTTTGGGGCTGCCAGAATTAGGGCCACGTACGTGTCTCTAGCTAGCTGAAGGTATTTTTGTTTTTGAAAGAAGCAGAATTCAAACTTAAAAGACAAAGCTTCTAAGTTTTTAGCTTCTGAGCATTGTGCGGCGATCATCATATGGTAGTGTACTGTACTTGGACAAAATTTTTCTGTCGTTCTGTTCAATAAATGGCGAGGTAAGAAATAGGTACCAAACAGCCGCTGTCAAACAGTGCTTTAGAAGCAATAGCCGCACAAAACTGAAGGTACGTGGAGTAATACCAAAAAGCTTTTTTTTAAAAATTCTCAAGCACAAAGAGGTAAAGCCAAATGGCTGGTGTCAAAACAGTCATTGTGAGGGTGATTTCTTGTCCTGCAGATACGAGCGTCATGTAATTTTTGTGTTAGAGTAATACCTGAGACGCACCCCAGCTCTTCCGGACTGAAAGCGAGGGGAGGGGGAATGGAGGTGAGGAGTTCAGGGTTGTCACATTTTCGCTTCATCATTTTCCTTAGGTAACTTTCTGCTTGTGCTGGTGTGTCTTATGTCAGAATGGCTTCATTCATTCAGACCCGATACGCAATTATTTGCCTGTGGCACTGTAGAATGTGAGCTATTGTAACAATGAAATGTTAAATTCACAAGCAGCAAAGTTGTGTACCGCAGCATATGTTAAAAGCTGCTGGTCCTTCAGCAGTCAGAACAAGCTTATCTCCTACGTCTTATTCAGTGCTGTGATCAGTGGCAAGGGCCAGGAGTACAAAATGCAAGGTTAATTTGGGGAGTTTTTCAACACTGTGATATGAATGCAAATATCTTCAATGCGTCTCTCTGCAGCATGTGACAAACTTTCAGCTTCTACAATGAATCTGCCAAAGCAAATGGAGTCGCCAATCAGTAAGCGTCTGTCCTCCTCCACAGCGGCAATAACACATTCCCCTGACAGAGGCAAGTGAATATGCTGGTCTCTTACCAGCATAAACTCTCCTTCTGTGTTTAAAGCACTTCTTCCTGTCCATTTGACTATGTAACTCTCTCATATCAATTATTCAAAAGATTTCAAAGATTTGCAGGGTTGTAAGTTAACTATTAATGTGAAACATAATAACGTAGTTTTGAAGCCTGCCCAAGACTTTGCTGCCGTTTGGTGACCCTGGGCCAGGGACAAACGCTGGGTTTTTTTACTGCTTATTTTTCAACTAGTGATACTTTAGCAAACAGGGTTGTAAATACGTGCCGCAACCGCAGCACTTTCCCAAGTCTTTAGGGCCATAGCCAAGTAATAAAAAAGCAAGCGAACCAGCCTGGTGGTGCGACAACGGACATGGGACGCAGTGTTGGCAGAACTATGTCCGAGGAGCCACCTGGGAGACTTTAATTTGGTGACCAGAGTTCTGGAGTCCTTTAATTTGATTTGAAAACCTGATCCATGAGAGGCTCAGCAAAAGATGATCATCTTGCAGGAGTAGTGGTTACTAAACACTACAGAAAGGACTGAAAGAATTATGCCACTGTCAACTCTTTGCATTTCTTTGTTTTTCTGGGGATCTTGTTTCCTTTTTTCTTTTTTTCCGCCCTTTTAAAACTATAATGAGAAAAATATATTGACTGAAACAAATGACAGTGAAGGTATATTTTTAGAAAAGGGAAGGTAAATTGCCTTTCATTTTTGAGTTGCTTAATGAAAACGCATCCCTAGCTTTGAGGTTATTGTGATAGATGGCTTTATATATGCATGTAATAGAAACATTTATAAACGTTTCTTATATAGCTGATGCTTATATTTATGGAGGAGAAAGGAAGGCAGGCACATTGTATAAATAAGGTTTATATAATGGGGTGAGACTGCAAATTTTAAATGCGTTCCAGTATGACTGGCACACTAGTGAGTAACTGCACTTGTTATACCAGTGTTTCACCTTTTCTACTGGGGAACAAGGCAAAGCTTTTTCATGCTGAGTCATGAAAGCAACCATTTTGCAGAATGGGGCACGCCTCTGTGTAAGAATAAATTGCAACACAGTCTTAACCTTACTATATTTATCGTACAGGTTTGAAGATAATTTAGGTGGCTTTAAATGAAGGAGAAACCAGAAACCTCTTTTCAGAGGAGAATTAAAATTATTTTAAAATACTTTAAATCTCAAGCACTTCAAGACTTTTTTTTTCATTTCATTTAATCATTTCATTATTTTGTTTCAGTTATTTTAAAAGCATCATTTTGTGTTTTGTTCTTGCATTTTAAAATGTATTTTATTTGCTCCCATCCTTCAGCTCACCGCATGCATCTTAGTCCAATGGAAAACTTTATTGTTTCTCGACTGCTGACTCCCACACAGTCTTCTTTAGCCAGAAGCAGAAGTACATTAATGCTTTCTGAGCAGTACAATAATCCAGGTAAAAATGTGAATTATTCACTTTGAAATCATTAAGGTATGTTTTTGGCTGCATTTAAGTAGTTGCTTAAAGAAACTGAATGCTATGAACCAAATGAGAGTTTATACATAATACAAAAAAAAACTATTAAAGAAGCTTGTCTTGATAAGTGTGTTTAAAAATTTGAAAAAAATGCATCATTTAGTCTTTCTTGTTCTGAATGCTTTTTTAAAAAACATAGCAATGAAATCTTGATTAACAAAATCAGTAAAACTTAAACCAGCGGAAAACTGAATATGTGCATTTATGAAATAGGTTGTCTTTTAGACCAGTGTGAGATACCTGTCAGAGCAGAACACAAAGGCTTTATTGATTGTATTACTGTAATCCACTTTTATACTCGGGCAGTATCCAAAGTGAAAACCCCAGGCCACTGTTTCAGCCTTACTTATATTTATGAGGGTTACCATTCTTCACTATTAAATCACTCTTTGTCTTTAAATATGTGTATATAAATATCTGTAGATAGGTAGATACAGATTGATGTTTGATTTTTGTTTAGAGGAAAAACATAGAGATACTAACTGGAAGGTATCTGTTCCAGTAATTATTCTTCTTTAAGAAGCTAAAAATTAGGGGTGATAGTTACTGCTCTTATCTGTAAATGGCAGTCTAAAGCCCTTATTTTGCAAACATATGCAATTAATTTGTTTCCAGACCTGCTAATACTTGGTCAAGCGCCTAATTTTATGTATGTACTACTGCGTAGTCCTGGTTTTAAAGTTATATCTGCTCGTGAGTGTTAGCAGAAAGAAGGACTGAAGTTTGACAGCCTTTATGTCCTTTTATTCAAAAAAAAACCAAAACCAGCAAACAAAAAACCCAAACACCTTTCTGCAAAAGGAAGCGTTATTTTTTTCAAGATAAAACTGGTTAGAACGTAAAGGGCTGATCATCTTGTGATCAGTATTGTCACATGGCCTGGTTGAAGTATGCTCAAGTCTTGTATCTGTGCTCCTAACGCAAAGATATTTAGAAGTGAGTTACAAAGTAAATGTACTTTCTTTGGTGCATTACTTCTTCGTTACAATGCATAAAGACACCGGTATTGAATGGCTCTAAAATTATTTCCTTTGTTTCTACATGAAAAGTAACATCTGTTGGAAGCAGAAATGTTGTCAAACAGTACTTTGCCCATGAGAAAATTCCCAGTTTACTTACTGTTCGGGGAGCAGCTACTAGTAAGGTGGCCAAAAGCCAACTCAGATCAGTGTATTCAGCTGAAAATGTTAAGGTGAATTGGTAAGACCACCTACAGATGTTGTCTTCTGTGTTGTCTCTGATATTGAAGAAATCAATAGGGACTCTCTTTGCCTTTCCCCGCTCATTTGCTTGCAAACTCTCAGTCTTATCTCTGTCATCAGCGCGGGATCTTTAAGGCAGCACGCTGGCACGTCTCACAAAGCTGCAATTTGGCCTGCGTTTCTGCCTTCCCCTGGGCTGAAACAGTGCTGATTCTGGGAATACTCTCTGAACCAGCGTCCTCTTTGTCGTTTCCTTGCAAAGCAAGCAAGTGGTGGCTCAGGTTGCAAACCGCATCGATACTCAGAATGGCTGCCGACAGTCTTGCCAGTAGTTGCTGGCAAAGGAGTGAGGGAGGATCTTCTATTTATAGTAAAAAATACATTTTTCCCCTGGTTTTTCCACGTGCTTTGTGAGGGGTAAAAACATAATAGTTGTTGAAGAGTTTTTCTGTCCTCAGGCAGTGTTTTAATTCTGGGTTGGTGCAGTGGCCTTTAAGCCTCTCTCGGTAGAAGTAGCTTCCTGGACTGGGACTGGGACTGGGGTCCTTCCTTTTTTATAAGCACGTACTTGTGCATCCTGTTTGGGCAAAACTCACTCTCCTCCTGTGTTTTCTGCAAGCTTGGAAGTGAGGGTCCTCAATTTAAGACTTCCTCTAAAGCAGTGCATTGTTAGCATCGCTCTCAGTCAACGTATCAAGGCAAGCAATAGTTACTGGAAATTTATGATTCAATTTTTTTTTTTTAACAGTTGAAGTAAAAATATGCATTAAGCATTTTTCTTCATGTTCAGAGCACTTTTGCCAAGTTGCTGGAAAGTAAAGGAAAACATAGGCTCAGTTAAACTTAGCAAGCATGCAAAAATGCATCATGAGTAATATTATGGGACTATCCCCAATAAAAAAAATTACAGAAATGTATTTTCTCCCTCTAAATTTGAGCATGATACTTTTCCACGGTCAATATTCTTGACTTCAGTTGAATAAAATACAAATGGAAACGCACTGTGTCACTGTGGTTGTAATTAGTCCCCGTTTTGTTAATAAAGCATATACCCTGCTAATTGTTTTATGTTTGTGAAAGTTTCATCTTGGAAGACAATGCTAACAAAAAACAGGAGCAAAATAGCCCATTTTAAAATATCCCATTGATACCGCAAATAAAAAAAGCAAACGTCCAAAAAGAGGTGCCCTATAGACTGCAGTGAATGTGTCGCACTCAAACTGATGTCTACCACTGGTAGCAGTAACTGAAGTAACTGCCAGCAGCGTTTAGTATAGGACTGTTTTTAAATTTTTTTTAAGCATTGTTATTCAAAGTAATTACAGTGTTTAGGAGCGTTTGCCATGTTTAGGCATTTTAGATAATTCCTTTTTATTCCCTCACCCTTCCTGTTTCAGGATATTTGTTGAAAAGTGATCTAACTGTGAAATTATTTGATTACTCTTTTAAACTATATGCAAAGGAAGCTGGTGTTTTCAGAACAGAAAAAAAATCACAGTCCTAGTTAAGTAATTCAAAGGGTATATGGGTAAGAGTGAGATCTTAGATATTAAAAATCCTATAAAAGATGTTAATTTCAGTTGAGGCATTTTTAGTACATATGGGACCATGTCAGCTGTATGTTATATAACGTGGTTTTTAAAAAAGCTTTTAAAAAAACCTTTGAAAATGACCTTTGTGATATTGAACATTATAACATATGAGTATGCTGTTTTCTCCTCTCCCTTACTTCTCTGTCTGTGCTCCCTTTTGCTCTTGCTATTGTACTATAACTCTTTAGTATTCCATATCTGTCCTCGTGTAGCACCAGCTAGTCCTCTTAAATCTCCCTACAAGCCTTCCCCCACACGAAGCACAGACAGAAAGAAGGCGACTTCACCCTCCACTTCTGATGCCATGAAAGGGGCGACTGCAGCTGAAGTTACTCAGGTGGGTTTGGAATGTGTTTGATTTCACTTCTAGGTAAGCTGGCGTGGCTTCTCGTTGTTATCTCTCACTTTGGATTCATACAACTGAAGTGATACCTCTTTGGTAAGAAACAGCAGTAAGAAAATGGGTCTTGCACGCATCCATTGGTTTCATGCTCCTGTTTGGCAACCTTTTAATGTCTTCTCGCTGGGAATTAATTAAATGTTAAGCAGTGGTGTTTGGAATGGCAACACCTTTATTTTCAAGGAACTGACATTTCTGGCACTGAAGTTTATGTTTCTGGACTTGCCTGTAACTTCTGGAAATGGGGATGACAAATAGGGTGTCAGTGCTGGGTATGACTATAAGTTAATCCAATCTTGTTGGTTAATTAGCAAGCTTCACATATTCTGGAAGTTTGCCAGATATATGTGAAGTGTTGCTCCTAAGTATGAAAACTAAAAAGAACTGGTTTTTTTAGACTGAGAAGATAAAGAAAGAGAAGAGACCCACAACACCTGGTTCATCATCTGGTATGGGATCTCCTCTAAGAAGGTCTGATTCTCCTGCTGCCATGTCCAGAAGATCTGCATCACCTGCAACACCTAAGTATGCCTTTCTTATTAGTGGTCTAAAACAGAGAACTTCTTGTTGCCTATAAAGAAGCTATAGATTGCTGAGGAACTTCCTTAGAAGCATTGAATAAAAGCCAAATAATTTTAGTTCTTCGTATATATACACCCATATATACATATATATAGAGAGAGAGAGAGAGAGAGAGAAAGAGAGAGAGAGAGATGTAGATAAACAGATATAATATATGTAAAGCTGTGTTAAGAGACACTAGAGGCACTCCTCTGCCTTTTCTCAGTCTTTAGAAATTATCGCTGTGCTGCTACTTTTCATTTGGTAACTCCTATTAAATTTTATTTAAGATTTAATGTATTTATTTTTAAAACATGCTTTTGTTTTATTTGGTTTTGAAGAAATTCTGCCTAATGAGAAGAAATGCATAGCGGGTGAACATTAAGTAGAAATTTCAACATGTGAGATATGCATTTCCCTTGCTGACAGTACCGCCTGGGTCCATAAATTTACTTACTGTGCTTCATCTAAACCCACAGTTTTCATCTCTGTTTCTTTATAGACCTTTGCGTTTTCTTTCGTACGCTCTTGTGGACCAATAGCACACCTAGACTTAATGGCAATTGAGTTGCTTTTTTTAATTGATTTTTGTGGACACTCTAAGATTATGGTCCATGTACTACAGCTTGAAATTCACTAGTCTAAAACAATTTGTCTTCGACTTCCTTAGAGCAGGATACTAAGTTTGGCTCAAAGGAAGAAGTACGCTGGAGTAATCATGGTCTACAGTAGTTGCCTCGCTCTTTTTTCTAAAGCCTTTTCATGAGCTCCACTCTTGTCTATCTCAGAAATGATCTCCGTTTGTCTGATTATAAGTACTATTTTTTTTACCTGACCCTGACTATATTCTGAACCACTCTTACTAACCCCCTTTTGGCAAATTTCTTCTGCTTAAAAGCTAGCTAATATTCCCTTTCTGTTTCAGCTTTGTATGTGTAGCCCTCTATGGAGGGTGATTTTTGTGCGTGAATCTGGTATCAGACAAAATATAGAAAACTGTGTTGATGGACATTCTTTCCGTTCCAGACATCCTCTTTCATGCAACTGTGAAATTGCAATCCTTGGTTCACATTTCCATTATGGGCCACAAATCGATAAACTTTCAATATTATAGGTATACAGTCATCAGATTCCAAACTATGTAATTTTGCATATAATGGAATGATATGAATTTATATAACAGGAAATGTTAATGATGAATCAGCTAAGGAGCAACTTTTTTATTACAATTTTGAATAGATCTTTGTGCAGTGGCATTGCTAAATTTAAAGAAAAAAAATTGAGCTATAAAAACATATATTATTCTGTAGGTTGCTGTTATTCCCTGTTCAGAATGCATCTGTCAGTTCAGTCATCTGTCAGTTCAGTCAAGTATAAAAGACATACCAAAAAGCATAAACAATTAAACAAAATCATCAGAGGGAAATGAATTGCTGGCAGTGAAGCACTTCATGATGGGCAGACATTGAAAAAGGTAGTATAGCTTGTCCTAGAGACAACGCTGAACAAAATGATTTTGAGAAACAAGCAGATGTTTAGCATAGCATGCAGAAAAGTTTGCCCAGTTGTGATTCATAGAACTAATTTCCATAAAACGGTAGACAAAGATTGAGACTTTTTTTTCCCCAAGAGATAGGTGTATAAATTTTGAGAACCACTTTCTAGGAAAAGGTTTTAATGTCTGTAAGGAATATAAACTATTGTGTTTAGAGGAAGAAGCAGATGCTGTATGGAGGAATTAAGAAGCCTACTGGTGGGCTACTCTGTGATTGTCAGCCACAGATAGTTATCCTTCTTTTTTCTTTCCCTCCCTCTCTTCCTCAAGAGGATCTAGGTCTGACCCTGGCTAGAAATGTATTACTGAGCGTTTAATCTTAACATGGCCCAATTAGAACACCCTCCTTGACCTTGAAAGATACACCAAATGGAATTTAAATCCATGTTTGTTACTGATTCCAGAAAGAGAGTTCTGCTTCAGCACTCTTGAAAATTCCCCTCGAAAATAAAATTTAAAAAAAAAAAAATCCTGATTGACGTATTATATAAAAATACCCACCTCTTCATAAAACTCAAATGCAAGATGATGATCTGGCTGATCACTGGATTTAAATGTAGGTGTCAGGCTTTTGGAACTTTGTGTTAGATTGTCTAATCTTTCCTTTTCATTTAAAATTATCTTGGGGGGGGGGGGGGGGGGGGGGGCTAAGAACATTTTGAATTCTCTATCAGCAGCTGGCTCTAGAGGATGGCCCAGTTCAAGGTTTGGAACACATCTGTGGTTAACACTGCTATCAAATAAAACAGTAATATTAAATAGAGCTATAGTGAGTTTGTGTTCCTTTAAGAAATATAAAAGAGAAATGAAATTCTCTTTTCTCTCGCTGGAGAAGATCAAAACTAAGAGTGAAAGAAAACTTCCTTTGAGGAAATACCACAGATAATAGTGCAAAAATGTGAGAGCCCAGGAACAGTATTTGATCAGAGCAATCTCAGAAAGAAAGCTTGAGAATGTAGGAGTCTTTAGTGTGGTTTTAGCAGAGCTTTGGTTGATAGGAGTAGGGAGATGGGGGAAAAAAAAATCCAGCAGTGCCAGATTTGCTGACTGGTGATTTAAAATTAGCCTTCTGAACTGCCACGTGACGACCTGTCACGTACCTGGCTTTTAAAGGAAGCACGCTGTCCTCTGCCTTGCTATTCATGTTCAAAATTGGATGTGACCTCTGACTCTGCAGTGCTACATATACTTTATTTTTTATGCTTAGCTAAAATAAGCTCAGGACTCCTCTTAAGCTTCTGCAGTATGGGCTACTGCTCTCCCTCCTTAATTAAAATAAGAGACATTTTAATTTAAGTACCCATGGTTCCTCAGACGCGATAGAGGTGCAGTGCTTGTAGAAGCTATGATGAGAATAGCTTCTTACCAGCTGCTGCCCCCGTGTCAGCACAGGGGATTAGGTGAGATAGTTCCAACTGTTAAATTTATTTTGTACCGTCAGTGGGAGGAAGATGCTTCCTGTACATCTGGATTCTTTCAAATCTAGTGACTAAGATCAGCTAACTTTCAGAAAACTAAGATGCTGCCATTTCTTGGATTTTTGAGAGTCTTTTTCTTAATTCTCCAGCCTTCATATTATAGGGCACAGTTCTGTGCTCCCATGTTCTTACCAGGATTTCATTACATCCCCTCCATTTCCCCCAAGGCATAAATAAAACGCTTTTTAAACGTTAAAAAAAAAAAAAAGTATAAAGATAAACTAAATGTTAAGCAGACTCATATGCAAGTGTTTATACATTTTCCTTAATGATGCCATTTTCTGTTTTCATAATCAAGTTTGGTCCCTTCTAGTAAAAAGTAGCATTATCTAAACACTAGTAGGAGTAATGCTTTTTTCCGATAACAATTGTTTCAGTTTTAAAGGTGCCGGACGACAATATGTTCAAATACAAGGTGGAAAGCACTGTTCACTTAATAGTTTTTACTGGCATCAAGTAAATGATTTGAAAATTTCTGAATAAAGATTCTTACCGCTGATAGCTTTTCTCTGTTTTCCACTCCTTGCACTACGCTGTTGTCATTCTTTTAATAACATTTTTTATATGCTTCTCCCTTTTAGTTGCTTTAAAACAAGTAAAACCATACTTGTTCTTTTGGCAATCAGAGCCATAAGAAAAAAAATTCTGTAAGTCTAAAAGTTCAAAGCTGTATTACTTAAAAAAAATACATTTAGCATGTTTCTTGCTCAACAGATAAGTTGTACAGCCTGTCTGTTATAATCCCAATGGAGTGCAAGATACATAGTTCTCATGACTAGACTCCTTCCTACCAACTTCTTAAATTTAAACTGATTGTCATGTATTTATTAGAGAAGAATTTCTTCTTTACTATTACTAAAACTGACTCAGCCTTAGTTATAGGACTGTTTTGTTCCTCCTGTCACAGCACGTTAAATTAAAAGCATTGCAAGAAATATGTGGTGAAGTTAAAAATGTAAAGCAAAGAGAGAAGGGACTACACTTTGAAAAAGTATCTGATTAACAAGAAGTATCCTCTGGGCTTTGGAGAAGCATAAGAAAGGCTGTTTGCTATCTTATTCACACATTTTTTATGAAATGCAGTTGGAGATTACTAAAACGGTAAGGCATACGTGTGAGCCATGTGCCTATGTAGGTGAGGACCTCAAAGTCTCTGCCTTCATCTTTAAGATGACCTGGGAATCCATCTGTTTCCCAGAAAGGAGAAAACTAAAGACAGTGCTAAAAACAGACCAGGCCAAACCAACGCCAAACAAACCGATATCATTATCTTCTCCTATCGCTCCTATCTTCCACTAAAGTAAAAGAACTGGAAATGCTGTGGATTCCTTCTCCATACCTCCCAAAGCATCTTTCCGTCAGGGAGCAGCAGGAGCGTGCTGCCCCACAAAGGAGGCCAGGCCAGGAGCTGTGGGGGACAGCAGGGCAGGGACTTCACCAACAGGCCCCTGGCATGCAGCACTCAAAAAGGTGGCCAGAGCCGGTCTGGTGACAATGACCAGGGTCAGCCAAGAGGCCAGCACGACCAGCTAAGGTTGTAGTAATGGGGCAGGTCTGAGGCCGAGCCAGGGCATCACGTCAGGATCAGCAAGGTCTAAGGCTGGGCACAGGCATACCTACAGCGTAGCTTAGGCAAGGACCAAGGGTGAGGGCCTGAGCTTACGTGGGGCTCCTGGGCTTCCGGGCAGAGGGTGCCTGGGTTGAACCCTGGATCTGCCTGGGTGCAGTGTTTCCAGCAGGCCAAGGGCTTTTGGAGTCTGTGATGGCTCTACAGTGGGAGCAAGAGAGTACGGACAGTGTGGTACTCTGTGCAATCTTTACCTCCCCACAAACAGGGCAGCTTTAAATGAGCTCCCTGTATTCTGGTGTCTTGACCTCTTTCAAATGCAGCACAATGTGCTGGAAAGAAACCTTTTTTTCCCTGAATTTATGAGTTGAGGAGGAGAAGGAAAGACTCATAATTTTCATTGTCTGCTCTATAATGCAAACGCTGTTCTGGTGATAGTAGTCTCTGGCCACACAATACTATAGTTAGATTTATACAAAACTTTGCACTCTAGTCCATTAATTTTCAGTCATTCATAAATGTTTACATTCTTCATGCTTATGGTCTGTTAGAAGGAGTACGTAGTCCAGAAAACATCATGTTGTAGTACATGGAACTGTATATTGTGTAGATGAAAGAAGATGATAAGGGATAATACATTTGTATCATAATTGCGTATCTGTAAGAAAGGTTAAAGCTGCATGCGTAATGTTCACCTTCATGTAAGATTATTTCTTCTAATGGGACTCAACATAAATCACTTTTTCTTTTAAGATTGTAATCTGTTTTGCCTCCATAATAGTTAGTCACACAGTCTTTCTTAACTTTACAAGTATTGAATGTTAGTTACTGTTGCTATATAAATAATAAATAGTGTTTGTATGTAGTTTTATGTTTCCTTGTAATCTATTCTCTGTAATGCACGTGTATGTTCACTGAATATCAAGTATCTTTACCCTTTCGCTTTCTAAGGACTGACTTTAGGGTTGTCACACAATCTAAAGTATGCAACAGGCAAACAAGCTATCAGCAGCATTGCTGCTGTGCAGTGCCGTTGCCACAAGTGCAGCCTTGTAGAAGGTCCCAGGGCCTCAGTTTTGAGCCTCCAGTCTGTTGTCTTGATGCTGGTTAAAGCGCTGAAATAGTGGAGCAGACTGTAGAATGATTTGGTCAGTTCTGTCTCTGTTTGTGCTGCCCAGCTTTTACCCTGGTGTACAGCAATAATTGATGCTATTTTAGAAAATCAGATACTGTTAGAAAAAGACCATGTTTGAGAAGGCTGTATTCAGATGAAAGCAGCAACTGCAGAAAGCACTGCAACTCATCATAATTGCTGCAGACAGAAAGCAGTCATAGCTTTGCTTTAAATGTTGAGATGAGCTATTGAATACAATGATGTTGACAAAATTATTTATGAAATGGCAGTTGGTAGTCCATGATTTCATATTGCTTTCCTACAACTCGGAGAATGTTTTTGATCTTTGATATCAGACTTTTCTGTAATCATTTGCACTTGCTTGATAATTTCCTGCATTTCAGGTTCTGATCGTTTTGCCTCCAGGGTATTTTCTATACAGTATTGTGCAAAACTACTGATATTCCTGTGTAGCTAGAGATGACAAGAAGAATCATATATGTAAAGATGGAACTTTGTTCCCAGTTGCATAATAGACTCTTTGACTTTTGTTTCCCTCATCAGGACAGTTGCAAAGACTTACCCTCAGTCTCCTAAAAATGCCAAACAATATCCAGCTTCACCTGTGAAGCATCGTGCCACTTCTAATCTCAACCAGGAAACTCCTAAAAAGAAAGCAGACAAGGAGAAGGAGAATGTCGGTCGTCAAAAATCCCCAGGAGCGCGCACTGATGAGGCAGGTCAGGCAGCTTCTGAGAAGCACGTGCCTTCTGCAGGAAAGACTGAAAGTAGTGAAGGTGAGTTTTATTGCAAGAATGTATTGCAAGGTACTGTGGGTCCATACAACTTTTAAACAATGAGGTTCTGTTCTTTCCATGATGCTACTCAGTGATGGATTCATGAGTACCTGTAAAGGTACCTACTGGAACCAGTAATTGTATAATTCTCACCAGGCAACCCATGTTTGGAAAATAATTGTTGCTAATGGGAATGTGAAAATGTTGAAATCCAGGGAGACCCTTACTTATCCCATATTTCCTCTGCTGGAAGTGCTGATACATGCTTTTGAAAAACAAGGATGGCTTAATGGTGTGAACTGGACCCATTTCAGCCCCTGTGAGTGTGGAAGTGCTGGGCCCTCTCTCATTTCCCTGCTTTACTTTCCAACCTTGATGTTCTTCCAGGGAAGCTCACAGCAGGAACAACTGATGCAGAAGAAGCTTCAAAAATTCTAGCTGAGAAAAGACGACAGGCGCGCCTACAAAAAGAACAAGAGGAAAGGGAGAGACAGGAAAGAGAAGAGCGGGAGAGGTATCTCTGTTAACTTGTGAAAATTATTACCTGATAATCATGTCTCTCTACTACTTGTACTGTGGACTGTACTGACAAACAGTCCAACCTGTACCATTGAAGATGCTTGCAACTGTGGTGTTCTGAGAATCAAGACAGCTATTCAGGAGCTGAAATTTCAAGTCTTTTGTTTCTTTAAATTTTGATCCATTGTTCATTAGTATCTTTTGCAGTCTTTGCCTAGTAGAGTTAGAAACTAGTAATTTTGCCCCTTTAAGAAGCCTGAAGACACAATCATTCATCCAAATATTTCAAATGTATCTACGCTGCAATTTGCAGGACGGTGTAAAAATACTTGAGGTAGTTTTAAATGAGCTAGTCCACCTAGAAGAAGCAATCTTTCAGTGACAATGTATGCCTTAGATTGCAAGGCATCTTGCAACAAATTAACCTGAAATTGATCTCCCTCCTCATCACTGTCATGGGCAGTTGAGAGCATTAAGAGTGTGAGCACAAGGGAGTTTGCTGTGCCTAACCATGAAACTCCGGCCCTCTCCTGGGAGCGAGCTTTTAGGTCGTTCTCCACGATGGATGCTGGTTGCAAGTGTCAACAAATTACACCTTCCTGCAATCACTAAATCTGCTTGTCTAGATTCAACTCTGTTTCTGCCCTTTTATTATTGAGAATGGGGTGGAAAAAAATCACCAGCTTCTGCCAGTTTGGCCCAATGGAAATATTTCCTGAATTCCCAATAGGCAAAGTTGAGTATGATCAGTAGCCAAAGCAGCTCTGAGATGACCGAGACCATGATCTCCCTGGGCTGGCCAGTGACCAACACAGATTGAACATACCACTGCACTTCCTGGGCTCTGTTATGTTCTATTTGAAATCAGAATTAGTATAGTTTCTTTTTTCTTTCTTTAATTATGCTGTTTTTTAAAGGGAAATATAATTTATATGAAATATTTTATGAAAGAAAAGCAAGACTGGAATAGAAGTGTAATAGCCATCTGCATTCTGGACATGCACTCAACCTCTTTGCTGTAGCTCTGCGTGCTACAAAGTGCAAAGTGTGCACTGATGCATATATTGATGCCGATTGTATGCCAGACATGCAGTAGGAGTCATACTAAGCAAGGTGAAATGTTTTAAACATACTGGTATATTTTTGCAGGCTTGAAAAAGAAGAGCAGAAAAGAAAGGCAGAAGAAGAAAGACTTCGTCTAGAGGAAGAAGCTCGTAAGAAAGAGGAGGAAAGAAAACGTGAAGAAGAAGCAGCTAGAAAAAAGGCAGAAGAAGAAGCGAGGAGGAGAGCCAAGGAAGAGCAAATGCTAAAAGAAAAGCAAGAAAAAGAGCTCCAAGCCATACTTGAGAAGCAGGTATCATCTCAATTACAAGTATGAAACTTTTTGTATTTCAGAAGGTTTTTATTGCCATAACTCTGCCAACAGTAATATGGATATATCCATATATATGTGGATATATAAGATAGTATAGTATCTCGTAACCTACCTGAAATAAGTAATGGACCTATCATATTTCACACATTTTGATTAGAAGGAAGAAGCAGAAATCAAAGCCCGTGAGGCAGCTGAACAGCTTCGTCTTGAAAGGGAACAAATCATGCAGCAAATTGAGCAGGAGAGACTGGAGCGGAAGAAGGTAGATGTTTGTGTCTCATTTAAGACAATTATTTCATTTCTTGTTTACATATGCAAACTCAGAAATTTACCCATTAGCATCTACAAATAAAAATCTGGACGAGATTCGATCAATATTTTTGCCTCATGTAATATATGCTACTTGCAAGTTAGAAGAACATGAACATCAAAATCTGTAAAGAAGTGGAATTACTAAAGCAAATGTCTTTCTACTAGGCAGGGAACAAATATGGAATTAGCCCGTAACCACACAGTTAAATACCTGAGACAGTGTGGAATAACGTGCTAAGGCAAATGGTGATTACTTCCCAACCCAGAGCATAACAGACTATTGAGGAATATGAGTGACTTTGTTTTAAAGCTTACTCAACAAAAGCCCCATGTTTTCAATTGAGAAAGTCAATGTGATTAAAAAACAAGTTTCCTCCCACCTGGCTTGTCTCTGGTTACATATATTATGCAGTGGCAGCATGACTGTCTGGCTACTACTGCAAATGTTTCTGCACAAGGAAATGGCTGGAGCTGCATAATGCAGCTTTACATACAGCTCTGTGGCAGGAAAGAGGGAACAACTGCAGAGCTACGTGATACAGAACCTCTGACTGGCTGTAAAAGGTCTTCTTTCCACATATGTTATTCCAGTATGTTATTTTAAACTGTGTACCACTGAGCTGGAGGCACGTTGCAGTTGCAGATTAGAATATCAAACCAAGTAACTTTAAATCTGAACATTTCCTTTCACTCTGGTGCAAAGGGACAAGATTTGTTGGGAGGTTTTTTTAATGAGCAAAGAATTTTAAAAGGATTTTAGGGTAACACCTGACACATTTCCATCAGGAATAAGTTCAAATACCTCATTTTACTCCTCCCTTCCAAAAAGCCTGAGTATTTAAAAAGCAACCATTTGGAAATAGTTGGAAAAGCAACTAGATGGAACTGATAGCTGTTGTTTTTAAATAGCTGTCTTGTTTTGGAGCAGAGCAGAACTCATGACTGCAAACACCTGGTATTAAAATGTTTGTCTCTAGATTGCATCTAGTGAGAAAGTCATGTTTTGTGAGACCTGATGACCTGATGCATAAAAGCCAACTCCCATCTGTTTTTTAATCTCCTGGGTTTTTTGGTTTATTTGTTTTCTTATTTATCTTCCCTTTTTCAAGAGAGGCGGGGATGAAGTCGTCATAGTAGAGAAACACATTTCTTTATCAACCTCTCAAGTTAAATGTGTCATCTGCCTTCTAATGCTCTAGTTTCTTTTGATTTCTAGAGAATAGATGAAATAATGAAGAGAACAAGAAAGAGTGAAACACCAGAAATAAAGGTATGAAACAGTGTGTGCTTTGGATTGTTTTTGTTTTGTCTTGTTTTATTTTTTTGTTGAGGGAGGTGTTTTGTTTGTTTTTTTAAAGTTTATTACCTATATGTGAAAATTGAACTCTAGCACAGTTCCATGTTAGTAGGTATACTTAGGTATGCTCTATCCCCAAATCTTAGGTGCATTTTAGAGCTAAGAGTGACTGCTGCTGTGTTAGTTATTGTTGTGCCACTGCTGTGGAGACCCAGCTTGGTGCAACCGTTGTAGACTCACCGTGCTCACTGCCTAACAAGGTGGGTAGAGCAGAGCTGGAGCCTCTGCTGGTGTCCTGGATCTTCTCCAGCATCGTATCAGCCTGTGTGAACTGGTTACTGAGCTCCCTGTGTTAAGCCTGCCAGGAGTGCAGGATTGAGAACAGGGCAATTGTGGAAGTGATGGAGAGTTTAGTTTTCACTTCTATTTTATGTTTTCTACTAAGGAAACTGTCTCTTCAGTTGCTTTAATAAGCTCCCTGACCTTTCAAATAGGTTTTCTTTTTGAAATAAAAAACAAAAACAAAAAATATCCTCTATTGCTGTTTGACCACCTGCCTGCTGTGGGCACTCTCCCAAGTTCTGAGTCCAGTCAGTTCCAAGAAGGCTACAGTCCTTCATCTAATACAGTTGATCTATTGATTACAGAAGGAAGAGCCAAAACTGGAGATACCATCAACTTTGAATATGGAAAAGCAGCCAAAAACCCTTGTTCTCAACCAGCCGGGTAAAATTTGCCTTATTTTCCTGAGCTAGTTTCACAGGTAGTTCTTTTAAGAGATTTGTAATCTCAGATGAAGCGCTGTATTGTCTTAGTTTTCATCTCAAAAAGGAACAACTACATTTGTATGAATGTGTCAGATGTTAGAATCTAGAGGCTCACTTTTTGCTTTGCCACTTAAGTAAAAGCAGAATAAAGTTGCTCCTGAGATAATACCTGAGATAATATTTATGTAAATGAGAAGTTCCAGCCTACAGATTGGTTTGTGTGCTGCATTCTACATTCTAGTTTTGTAGATACAAAATTTTGCACACAACCAAGTTTGCAAGTTTTTTATAACATTGCTCTAAATTTCTTGCATTTAATATGACTTGAAAGCAGCATATGTATTTTAAGAATTATCAAAAAAAGGTGGCTGTGGGATTTATATTATATTTATTTGCACCAGCTCAAGGCTTTTAGTACATGACATAAAAGGTAATACATTCTCTTCCGACTTCTTTAAATTTAAAAAATATAGTATAAAGAGCAATTGTAGAGTGGAAAGGAGGATTGACAATATAGTACAATGAGTCATAGATGAGATTGGCTCCTACTGTATTGTCAGTCCTCCTTTCTACTCTATCTATAACTTAAAAGCATTTGTGATTTTTTTTTTTTTTAACAATTTCAATGAAGATATTGCTACTGTAATATTCTCTAACCTTCTTTTTTAGAGATCAATGGATTGGCAACCTGCCTGAAAAATAAAAGCCCAGAAAGTGCTGCCTCTGTAATGCCTTCCCAGGATGTAGTTGCTAATGGACTTAAATCAGTTGCAGGACTTATTCAGCTGGAAGCTGTTGATGGGAAATCTAACAGCATGGAAGATTCAACAGATGAGGTTCAGTCTATGGATGTGAGGTACAGACCATATCCACTAGTAGAAATCGTGGAATTCATATTAGCTACATCTGAAGTTTTCAATTTTATTTGTTAATGCTCACTCCTCGACTTCTCGCCTACCCCACAACGTGTCAGTCTGGTGTCTACTGTGTGGTGTACTCCCACTGATAATACATGCTTCTGTCAAGATGCAAATTGTTAGTTTCAGACTAGAGTCAGCAGAGCTTCAGCTCACTCTCACACGCTGAAAAAAGTATGGAAATCCTTCGACAGTTCTTACTTAACGGATTCCGTACAAATTTGCCCAAACCTTTCCGATTGTTCTGAGAATTCAGGAAGCGCTCCTGTGAAAGTAATTGCTGTAGCTATTGTTCAGATGCCACCAGTTTTTTTATTTGTATCAAAATGGCAATGAGCTCCATATAAACAGAATAAAATACTAAATTCATAATTTTCTTGATATATTTAAATTGAAAAAATATATGGAAATCAGTAAATAACTTCTTGTTTATTAATACTGTTGGATTTTGATGGGAAGATCTGCATGAAAGAAGGAAGTTGATAATTTAAGGTTGCTATGGGAAATCTAGCTCTGAATTGTAAACATGGAATTTTGATTCTGTAGCTCCCTAAATCAGCAAGCCAAATTAACCCCTTCTACAGTTTCAGTACTTCCAATTAATCTGCGTGAGAACATAAAAAATGCCATACTGGATGAAACCAGAGGTCCATCTAGATTTATTACTCAGTCTCAGAGAATAGCAATAGGGAAAAAATAGTTAGGGAGAGCACCTGAGCCCAGCCACTTTCTGCAATCCAAGACCACACAGAAGTATTTTATAAGGAACATTGGAGGGCACATCTCTCCCTTTCTAGTATCCACTGATGGGCTTATTGCCGATGAGTTTACCTAACTCCTTTTTGAATTTGCTGATACTGTTTGCATACATGTCCTCATCTAGCAGCCAGTCCCACAGCTCGGTCCCACTAGGAAAAGTACATTCTTGGAGATTGTCTTAAACACAATCTCCTACCAGTGTCATTGAGCATCCCCTGTTTTTTGTGTTGCAGGATTTGATGCACAGTAATTCTGCTCTCAGCCTACCCAACACCTTCATGGTTTTAGAAATCTTAGCGAAATCCCCACTCTGCCTTCTACTCTCCAAACGGAAATGTGTCCCAGCGTTTCTAGTCTCAGCAAGGGGTCAGCTGGTTGCAACACTTGTTAGATTAAATTTTCTGGGATTTCTGTGTCTGAATTATATCACAAAATCTTAAGAAATATATTTTTATTTAGATTGTGAAATGTGAGTACTTTAGGTGAGGTTGCAGGATCAGGACGATAATTTGCAAGATGTAATAAAAATAGTACATTTAGGTAATGGAATGGTGCAGCTACTGAAATAATGAATGTTCAATAGCTGTTCAGTAAACCACCCGATATTAACTACCAGAAATGTGTTCTTAAGAGATAAATGTTCACATCACACAGCCACCACAAACATTAATTTTTAAGGAATACAGAATAGGTATAACCTACTGCCTTGAAAAGGGTAATCTCTTTTTGTTTGGAGTGGGACATATTTTAGGTAAAGGCTTGCTGCAACTAAGTAGTAATTTTTTGGCTGTCAGAAGACTAATCTGATTTTTGCTTAATGAAAAGTCACGCACCTTTGTTTCTGCATCTTCTTCCTTTTATTGTATAGCCCGGTTTCTAAAGAAGAACTCATCTCTATCCCTGAATATTCACCTATGAACGAACTCATGCCCAGCGTTTCTTTGGACCAAAATGGGACAAGTAATGCCAAGGCTCTTGAAGATCTTTTGGATTTTACAGGCCAAGCTACTTACTCCAAGATCTCCAGCGAAACCATTAGCCTAGATGACTGTAACAAAAACTTGATTGAGGGATTTAACAGTCCAGGACAGGAAAATACACTTAATTCTATCTGTTGACAACCTCGCTTTTCTGCAGAATAGATAAAGGTACGGTATTGTGATAAACACCTTAGATACGATAACTTGCTGTGATTACTTATGAGCTTTCTAGAAGAATGTATCGGTGGTAAACAGCATATGTGAAGAGAGGAAGAGAGCTGGTCTCCAGGATATTTAAATTTAGCATAATCTCTCATGTTCGCAGCTCTTCTTAAGTTGGCATCATATTGTGAACTGAGCACATCATAGCAGCTCGTAAATTAAAATACTTCATTTATTCATTCAGAATATAGTGAGAAGAGAGTTGCTCTTTCTCTTCATTAGTTACATAGCTTTCCTGTAAGTCTTTGGAGCCCATTACCATAACAGTTAAAAGTAGGCCCAACTTAGAAAATGGTAATTATTGTTGCTGCTTACTCTTTTCCACTGCTGTAATACTTGCAGCATGGTATAAAATAATTTATCCTGGAAGGCCAGCAAATTACATGAAGAAAGTATAGTAGGATTTAATGACAGTTTTACAGTACAATGCCACATACAATTTTAACAAAAGAGCGTATTCTGAATTACAAACTGAAGTCATCTAACTTGCATAGCTGACTGGGTTTTTTCTTCTTTTGTTTCATTGACAGAGGTAGCAGTTTGTGGAGGATATCTATCCCTGTGATGCTACTGTAAAATATGAGCTTGTCACTTGAAAAAGCTTCTGCAGTCCTTGAACACTGGATTTCAAATAATCAGAGCTGAATATAACTTTGTCTTCCCAAGGGATACATTGAATAACTGGCTGCTTTTGGTAGAAACCAGTGATCTAGAGCCTTGGTAGCTTCAGGGAAGACTGAGTGTGCATTAGAATTTGAGCTTTAGCTGCTAATAAAGCACTTATTTCTTCTTTTAATTTAAACTTCATCTGAACACTTCACTGTGATTATTTTATTTTCACTGTGCATTTTATTTTAAAATCATTCTTCCTTAAGTTTTCCCATTCATCTATTTAGATATCTTTTTCTTGTAAATAATGATGAGGCTTGCCCACAGTGAGTTGAAATGAATTATACTGTACTTCAGTTTTGTGCCTCTCTCTTTTTTTTTTTTTTTTTTTTTTTTTCTTTAATAAGGAATTCTTGGCAACTTTTATGCAGGTGTATAATTCAAAGCTGTAGCTGAAGAGGCATGAAAAGTATACAACTGCTGGAATCAAAAAGAGCCTTCTTATTGACTGTGGAGTGTAGGAGTTATCCGTTTATGATTATGTTGACGTTTTTAGTCACTAGTGGAAGTTACTGGTTAATGCTGATAGTCCTGGAGCGACTATCACTTATGTGTTAAAAACATACTTGTTGTAACACCTGTAAACAATGTAGGCAAAATGCCTCCTAGTATAATCCCTTAATATGTATTGTATAACTGTAGTAGATCCAAATGAGTACGTCAAGGGGGGTCAGATAACATGTTAATCTTTGGAGATACAGACACTTTATTAATACCAGCAGGCTTTTGATCATGTGGAGAAGTATTTTGTCTTCCTATAGGCTCAGCAACAACAAAATATAGTCAGCAGCAAAACAATATAAAAAAGTTGCAGCCAAAATACAAAAGCTGAGAGAGACACAGCGAACGCTGCTAGCCTCCTTAATATTCTATAAGCATCTGTATGGAAAAATTCACATCAGAATGTATAATGTGTAGACATTACGTGCCATACAATGTTAATTTTATTTCTGTTAGTGAACTATGGTAACTTTTATGCTAGATCATGTGCTGCTTTGAGGACGTTTTTGTCCAGTTCCTTATAAAAAAAAAAAAAAATTTATAAATACAAATCTGTTTGGAAACGAACACAAAAAAAGTGATAACTTTTTTTTATATGTAAGGGAGTTCACAGTATAGCCTGAGCTCATTGGTAGCCCTGTTGTTGTGCTTTTTTGAAGTCAGCAACAGAAAGTAACCCATGAAATTGTGTGTGATAAAGCATACCTACAACAATCCAGCTCTATTTATGTTAGTGTACTTCAGAAAAAAACTTTATTTTGACTGTGCAGTAAGCTGTAGCATGATACTGTGTCTTCCAAATTAGTCCTACATTTATTTCCTAAATAATAAACAGAGACAAACTGTTTTGCTGTGATACATTGTGTTTGACAAATGTCCCATTATATTTTACTATGGTGTCACTGTATAACCTGTAGATTTCTTCATTTGCATGACATGTATAGCATGTATAAAGGTGAAATACATTTTCATTTATGAATCTAACTTGTTTCCTAGCTTTTCTTTCTTTACTCAGAACAAAAATGTGAAAAACTTAAAAAAAATATATATACATGTATGTTTGCTCTGGGGTGCTTTCTGAGGAAGGGTGTCATACTGCATGAAGCACTGGTTCTTAGAGCCTCAGAATGCTTCACTGTTGTTTCCTTGGCAACATACTTATTTGCTTTCTGAAGTCTCACCAATATACAGAGGAAATGTAGATTGGTGGCAGAAGATCCCAAACTTATGGCATCCAAAATGCTAATGGGATGAAGCCACTTCGGAGCAATATATAACCCACACTTCTGCTCTCTGGGGTGCTGCTCGGCAAAGAAAACAAGGAAAAGACAATTTGGGAGTCATGGCCCCAACTAGCTGTGGCCCCACTGGACACTGTTCTGTCCAGCATGTTAGCTATGTGTGATCCATTCTGTAATGGTATCCATAATATAAATGCTAAACTTGTCTTCAAGCTAAAGGCACGTATTACTGTGTAGAAAGAGACCAGCTTAGAGTTACTACGACTATTCTAGTGAAAAGTTTTGGAAAAGGATCAGCATACGTTCTCTATAAAATCACAACTTCAATGAAAATTTAAAATGAGAAAATACACTTTTATCATCAAGTACATTAGTACTTTCCATGGTGACACTTCAAAACAGAATGAGAGAGAGATGGATCATTCATGCGATTTGTTCACTTGTTTATTTACTGAGATTCAAGGAGGGAAGACAAGTGAGTACTCGTATAATAGAAAATACCTAAAAACATTTTTTTATTTGCTTTCAAATGTAATCTTAAAAGTTTGGCTGAGTATCTGGAGCAAGTACCATTATTTGAGGAGTTAAATTACTTTTTGCTTTTGATGATACAAGTTCTTTGTATCAATATTCCTGTTTGTTGCTAAGATTCAGGTCTGCGCAATAAGCTTAATTTTGACAGTGGTCCTGAAACTGTGATGAAGGACCACTAGTGATTCACACGAATCCTTTGCAGAGCTTTTCTCTTGTAAAGCATTTGAGGATCAAGCTGTGAGACAAAGCAAAAGAAAAGAGAATGAAGAAATGATCCTTGAGTAGATGTCTTTTATAAAGTGATCTGCAAAACAGGAGTGTCGGGAAACCACTGAAACCTCTGACAAACTAATTGAAACACAAGAACTGCATTGGCAAAGCGAAACAATAAAAAGCTGTTAATGAAGTTAGACTAGTACATAATATATGCTAGTAATATATAGTGCTAACACAGCATGATGAAGTCATGTGAACGTAGCTATTTCCTACATTAAACACCAAGAAGAATCTGACACTGTTACTATCCTTTCCCAGATTTATTTTCAATAACTAGTATAGCAGTAAGTTTTTAAAGTAAAAAATACCGTATACATCCAAGGTAATTAGGTGTCACAGAAACTGTCTGTTATTGTGGACACTATCAGCATTTTCTGTGGTATTGCTCTGGGCAATGACACCCACCCAAGCTTGTCTCAGGCCGAGCAAAGGCCTGTAGCAGAGTCTACAGCTCTTGGCTCCCTCACGTTCATTTCAAAACCAGATGGCATCAGGGATGGGGGAATCTGGCTCTGCCCCCAAGCCTGCATTTTCAGTTAGTGGTAAAGGGGGCAGAAGGGGGAAAAGTCATCCTCGCTCCTATAAACGTACAAATTACGTATGTGGAAAAAGTAACAGAAACTACACAGCATGCTGCCCAGCAGGTTTGGGATCTTCCCCTTGGCACTGTTCAAAAAAGCAACTCCCTGATTCCCAGTCCACTGAAGCCCCAGCCTCATGTGATGGGGATCAGGGATGGGGCAGAAGCCAAGATCAAACCTCCTGTTCCCCACGGCCAGGTGGAGCACGGCAGGACTGTCCAGCCTCACGTTTCGTGTACAAATTTGAGCATGCGGTGGGCCGTTTCAGGTGCCGCTGCCACCACCGCGCTCATATTTTGGGCATTGGCAGTGGGGCACTGCAGCTCTTTTGCTACTCCATGACCCCAGGTGCCCAAGGTAGCACAGTGGCATTGTCTAGGGTCGGCTGTGGCCAGTCAGAGGGGCACAGGATCCATGGCCAGCACTGGAGCAGTAATGCTGCACAGCAGCCTGGAAGCCCTAGTAGAAGAAATATTTCTGTAAAGCCTTGAACTGTGGTCCTGTCCCCATATCACGTGCCCTGTTGCGCAGCTGCATCTCCCCATCCTATAAAACCTGTACGGAGCCCCATGCCATGAGACAGGAGAGGTTAGGAAGTTTGCTTTAGGCTCTGAAACGTGAAGTACATCCATAGTAGGGCCCTTCTCAATAAACTAGCTGACATTCAGCTTGCTGTCCGTCCTCTCAGGACAACGGGTGTGAGACCACTGAGCAGCCATCTCCGTCAGCAAAGGGACTCTGATCTCTTACACCATTGTCCCCTGAGGGAGCATTTGCAAACAGCAGCTGTAACATCATTCCCATGAATAACTAGGTTCCTCTGTGTCTTCTCTGTGTCGATCGAAAGGGTCTTAAAACGTAACTAGTTTAATATTCAAGAGCAAAGGCTATTTACTTTGGGAGGTGTATTTCTTGTTTTCTCTAATCCACCGCCCACGTGTTGCAGTGGAAGAATAAGAACAAGACTGTCTTTTAAGCTGCAGACAAACAAGTAAGTTCAGTGGGGATACGCTTCTCTTTCTCCTGCGTTAGTGGTGTGCGCATCTTCCTCCTTACTTCCACCCCTTCCCTCCCTCCATATACAAGTGTGTGGGCTGAAAAAAGTTTTGCTTTACTCTCATTTTAGAACAATGTTGTTCAAGCTGTTGGTTGCCTCCAAAAACAGCATGAAGAGTGGTTATTGACCTGTGCTGCCTCTGTGTGGGGGTGTAAATTCGTGTAAATGTAAAAGCTACCTGACATTGTGGGATGCCATTTTCCAGTATTAATATTAAATTCTGAAAAATTTATTGATGTTGGGCCACTATACTAAAATCTGGAAAATATGGTGATTGACCTTATGACTAATTACAGTTTTCTCTGAATTTTTTTAAAATGTTTAGAAAAACAGTTTAAATACATTCAGTCTCTCAGGAATACATACACTTTAAAATCTTAGAAATCTTAAGATATTTGAATGCGTTTTTTTTTTGTTGTTGTTATTGGTATTAGTAACAGTAATACTGCTCCAGAATACTGCAGCCCACAATGTTCTTCTCTCCCCCACTTCTTTATCCCATCATTTGTCTTATCCTTACGATCTCTTACAGCTGAAAATTAGGTGGTGCTGTTCATTCCGCAGGCCAATTTAACTTGTCTATTGAAGCAACATCTTAAGCAAAAAAGCCCTTAAATTGCAAGCAGAAATACTAAGAGAAAGGATGCTTAAGCTTTTAAAATAATTGTCTAAAATGGAAGAGAATTGACCATCAGAATAATTTCTGACACTTGTTTTCTCCTTAATTGCCTTATTTGTTCTCCATCTCACAGTACTGAAATATTATGATATGTTCTATAGTCTTTCTAAAGATTGAACATGGAGGTAGTAATGTTTTCAAACTAGTAGGTCGGATGAGTACCTGAAGCCTGCAATTTGCAGGAGCCAATGTGTGATGTTCATTTGAGGGATTTACAAAAATAGACACGTATCCCTGCTGAAATGGAGCCTTAATGATTTCCAGAGAAAAAACAACTGTGATTCAGGAGAGATTCAGTGAACAGAAGGAAATGGTAAGCAATGTGCTGCACACCTCTACAAAGTCCTTATACTAAGAATGAGTTTTTAAAATGGGTACATAAATAAGTCAAACCACAAGCTATGCATTATTACCCGTATCTTCTTGCTGGATCTGAGAGAAATAACTTGAAGTCAGAGACAATTGTAGGTGACTGACACTATACAGGAATGGACCCAAGAACCCAAGAAATTAAGTAGTGGGAGAAAAATTTTCATGGGTGTGAACTAAGATCACAATCAGGGAAATGACAGTATTTCCTCAATTTTTCTGTAAATACCAGCCACACTTAGCAAATTCAATACATGAGCAGCACTTACCAATCCCACTAAAAGACTGGAAAAATAATAAGCAGCATCAGGGCAGTAGCTATAACGCTATATTACCATTATATTCATATATCCGTTTTCAGAATAACTTTTCTCTTTTAAAATACAGATGGCAACATCATCTAAAAGGTCATTATTAGCACCTTAAATATGCAAAGTTATGCCAATAAAGTCTACGGAGTTGCTCCTAATTTTCCTGGAGTGAGTTCTCAATTGAGAACAGCTTTCACTCTTTTCTTTTTCTTTTTTTAAACCTCTTTTATCAGTTCAAATACAATAAATCTGAGACAGTATAAATTCTTGTGGTTGCCTGGTGGAATAAGTTTTTTTCTTACCAGTTCCTGGACAAAGGCTGCCCATACCTTGGACGGCAGAGAAACACAAAATCAGAGGAGTGTTTGGGGCCTGAATAACTGCTGGCCTCCAGCAGTAGTGTTTCAGAGATGGCCATGAGATGCTGCTGTCACATGCAATGAATCCACATAATCCTGGTCAGAAAGGGATAAAATTCAGTACAGCCTCTTCACCAGGGGAAGACTGTGTCAGAATTGCACTCTCCTTTTGTCAAGAAACTTCTGCGTTTCTAACCTAAATTTTCACATGGTTAGTTTATGCTCATAGGCTCTTGGACCAATGCTGTAGTTTAGGGTGGAAAGTGACATACAATAAATGAAACTGTTGGTGGCACTGACAATTAAGAAAGTTGATGGAGTGAAGGAGGGAGAAAAAAGGATGGATGAAGGTAGCAACGTTGCCTAAAGAATGCTAAGATACTTTGTACGTATCTATTATCAAGCAACTAATATTAAAATTCCTAAAACAAATGAATATCAGTAACGCCCACAATGTCCTATCAAGCTGTATGTTTTGAAATCTGCTCCCTCTTCAGGCTTCCCATCCTGCTGTTTCATTGAAATTCCTCATTCTGTCACCCTTCCAAATTGGGGTTCTTGCACAGGCAAAGAAACGCAGCCCTTCTGCCTTTCTGCTTCCTCTTTGAATTAATTTGCTATGACCGCTTAGATCATAAGCCTAGTTCAAAGCCTTTGCTTTTAAAACCCTGTGTTAACTGTGTTTATGTCACCTACTGGTATTAATTCATACACCAAAATTGTTTTTGCTGGTATATTGCCAAAATCGTACCAAGTTTACATGGGCCATACAGCTAATGGAAATGGCATAGTTTTTACATGTTGTTACAAGGAAAGTCATGATAACCTCATAAATAAAACATAGAGGCATCTTTACGTCATGAGATTCCAGCCTTGCTAAAGGCTCTTTAAAGAATAATTTGGTGATACTATCTGAGCCAAGTCATGCAGTCAGTCGTCCTCTCACGTTCCTTCAGGTTTTAATTAAATGATTATTTTACAGCTTCCCTTAAATTTCAAAGCTAAATAATGTGGGGCTTATTTCCTCAATTAGGGAGGGAATTGTTATCTGTTGCTTTGCGCTTGAATTAAAAAAAGTCACAGTTCTACAGAAAGCTGTTGAAACAAGCTCTTGCAACTTTGCTTGTTTGTTTTCGGTTTTATTTTGGACCAAATTCTTTCCTTGTCTGGAGGAGGAGTAAAGGATTTGAAGTCAAAGTTATTTCTCACAAGTAATTTTAGACGTTGATTTACACACCAGTATCTCAGTTTCTATAAAGTAAGAGAAACAGCTGACACTCCTTCACTGGGGAGTTTAGCGGTTTAGCTAGTTTTATTCCACTGAATAATGGAAATTTTTTTTTTATTAGAAGAAGCAAACGTGTTGTGTGCCCGCAAAGGATTAGGCGCACTTATTTCATAACTGCAGACAAACTTTGTGGTTTGGCTAAAGTCTTCTGATATAAATGAAAGAAAAAACGCCTAGTTGCGCTATGGGATAAGGGTTGGTAAAAAGCAAAAAAGAAGGATAAAGGTGAGACTCCTCTAAAAGCAGAAATCAGACTTAATGAAGCCATACAAGTCTCATCTGGAGGCAGAATAAAATGCTAAAGCCCAAAGTAAACATTTCCCTCTAAACATGATGAGAGGTTGGTTGGTAAAAACATTATTATCCTTTGACAGCCAGTCTTCTTGATGGTGAGTCTTCTCTTTGCAGATGTTTACTCCACCACAGCCCTTCTAACTGCCATGATGCAGTAAGTATTACCATCTATAGGCTCTGTCTACACATACCAAAATGAATTGCATATGACAAGCAAGCTAACCCACTTCCTACACAGAGCTTTTAATTTCACCTATATAGTCCACGTCAGTGAAAAAAAACTATTCAAAAGTGGTTGCTGTGGTGAGCCCGGAAGTACGGGAAAGCCCAAGCAATGCTCCCCAGCCCCAATAGCTCAGCCTGTGTCGCCTGACCTACTTCTGTGCCTGACCTTGCCTAGAGATTGAGCAAAGTTTTATTTCCATTTCTTTTTTAATTAACATACTACTGTTCAGCAAAGTTCATCTCCAATAGTAACGTTTTAAATGAAGTGCCTAGTTGAAAGAAAAAATACGTAAGATCTGTCTACTATATAATATTAGTTTCTGTCTTTGAATTCTACGTTACTTCCCTTCATAATTTCCAGCTGTTTAGCATGCATACCACAGCCATACGGTTTCCAGAGGGAATGTTTACTAAATTAAACATTAAAAGAATGTGAAAGCTACTGTCTAGTCTAATGATATTTAATTATAAAAACGTGGAAATAGATTAAAAGAATTAGTCTTAATAAGTAGTAATTGTCAAGCCCTGTGCAACAGTAGCCTTTACAATTTACAGATAGAGAATAAGATGTTGTGGAACTGCTAATAGACACTGGTTTTAAAATTTATTTAATTTGTAAAGTGTGATTCATTTCTTGTTTTCTTAGACTATATGGAGATCCTTGTGTACATGCTTAATGATATCCATCAAGTCAAGTGTATATTGGATCAAGAGCATCTGAGGAGAATTCAAACAAAGAAGTTAATAATGAAGTATAATTTAGTTTATGTAATGTAGAAGTTTATCTTATGCACATAGAGGTGGATTGTCTGTAGTTATTACAATTTTTGCTTGAAGTGAAGGGTCTGCTTAATTTTAAGTTTCAGGGCAGTGCTAGCCTCACTAGATGTAAAGAGCAGGTAAAGCGTGACACTAACTGCAGTAAGGAATAGCAATAAAAATTTTCTTTCTCTGTTAAGTTTCATTTTCCTAGTCTTCCGAATGAAGCCATAACTTTCTATACAGTGATTATCTTGCATATTGTAAAAAGTATGCCAAACTTGTAATACACGTTACCTGCTTGAGCCCTCCAGGCTGTGGGAATTCTCACTGGCCCACGTTCCTTTGGCAGAGTACAGAAGAACAGCATCTGCCCCGCTCAATCTCCCTTAGTCAATCTAAAGATCACTCTGCCTTGTTCTGATCCAGGCTCCTATTAACAAAAATAGAAATAAGGTAAAGAGGAAGCAAGCATTGTTTAGTGCAGTTTGCAACTATATATCTATATCACATACTTCAGCGAATCTTTTAATAGGGAAGACATTACACTGAAGTTAAAAATAACCTTATACTTCTACATGCTTTTCATATGAGAAGTTCAAAGGGTTTTGATGAAGACCCAAGAAATTATTTTGTATGACTATTGTGTGTGGTTCTGAGCTGCTCCAGAAAGGACTAAAGAACCATGCAGAACCCTGCAGATCCTCAAGCAAAATAACCAAACCTACAGTCGTGAAGAGGGATCCCTCAGTCCCAACCACAGTGACTCTGACAAGGTTAAAAAGACTGAGATTCAGAGATAATGCCTGGCTAAAAGATCAGCCCTATAAAAGGAATGCAGAAAGATGTCAGCTGCTAAAAGCCTGAAGGATAGCCAAAGGTGGAAGCCCAGGCTGGAATTTGGAACACAAGGAAAGTGAGACTACCTATTTGAAGTACACCTACTTAACGGGCTAAGGAGAATGCTGACAATAAGTAACCTTTCCTCTCCATTCTTTATCCAGTGAATACAAATATCTAACTTCACCCCAAAGTAGGTCATGGTTTGATAATATGGTGAAGGCAGCCCTACGGCTCTGACACGGATCAAAAATATCAGGACTATGTAACACAGTATGCTGACTCAATAGAAATTCTTGTCTCGACTCATATTTGTTAAAGAAAACATTGACAGGCTAACTTGGTATTGGCAAGCTCTATACCAGATCAGATATCATCTGCCCGTGCCACTGCAACGGTGTTGGATTGGGTGTCGCCCTTCTTCCTGCAGCTAGTGTAAAAATACAAAACGAACATCAGTTCTGTGCTCAGGCTAAAACTAAAGCGTGTGCCTGTTTCTATCTGAATGAAACGTATTCATGGATTGTTCTGACAAGGCACCACTCTAGTATCGCCATCTTTGAACTCAGATGCCTACAATTAAGTGTCAGTATCTTCTTTCATGTGTGGCTTTCTATGATTTTAAATCCATTTGCAGTGCTTTTTTATCATAAAAAGATATTGCATTTCCAAAATGCTTCATTATGTGTCAATGCGTTCAGCTGTTGTTTACAGCTTAAGGAAAAACTCGCTCAAACGCCAAACCTGTTAGGCCTGCTAGGTATCATGATTGACAATTAAGGGAGTGTGTCCCTGTGGCCTAGAAAGGAGAGCGTCCAAATTGCTGGGATTGATTGTCTCTCCAAGAGAAGCGGAGACCTGGAATAGATACTTGAAAAGGCAGCACTCCAGGAAAGAGCCTCAGAAAAAGCTGCTTACTCGAGTATTGCAAGAGGTGCTACAAACCTCGCACTGGCCGTCCTCTGACAAGTAAGCCATAGCCACTTTGCCTGTGGGTCAGCAGAGCGAATCAATGCCCCATCTGGGTGGTTTTACGGCCTTACCGGAGCAGCACTGGAACGCCTCATACCTGGCAGTGATTTAATTATGGGTTATTCGACCGTAAGGCCTTAGGCAGTCTCTTGACCAAGGCTTTTCTGCCTGACCCATCACGTTGAAGCACAAACCAGCTACAACACTGGACTCACGGGTGCCGCGCTCTCCGTGCTGGAGCTGGGCCCGGCCGTTCTCCCGCCGTTCAGGCTGCGGCTAATCGCGCTGCTGGTGCAGAAAGTCAGCAACCGCTGCTCCGGGGGGGGG